GCCCCCCCCCCCCCCCCCCCCCCCCCCCCCCGCCATTCAAACGCTCTGGAAGTTTTCCTAACTAAGGCGTCAGTGCTACCTATGTCCCAAGCTGCGATGTTACGTCTTTTCTTTTTCTCACGTTTCGAGACTTGGGTACGAAACTTGGTAATTTGGGGATTCTAGGAACATAGGAGCTTAGGAGCTTCACTACTTTGAATGAATTTTTGCGGCTCGCAGTACCTAACTCTACGCAAGTCTCACGTCCCTTGCATTGCTACTTACGTACCTCATATATAGCATAGTTACATTAGGTACATACTCTTCATCCGAAATACTACCAGCTGCTTACAAAAGAAATACTGACCGCTTCGCTCGTACGGACATGTGCGAAGTGAAACTGTCACCAAGGTAGCTGGCTGGCCCATTTTGGACATACCGCCGCTTCAGAACGGAAGATGCATATATTAATGGTATTATTGCGTGCAGAGTGAGAATAGTAGTGGAAGTGGTAGAAAACCCAATCAGATTTCATGAGAGCATTCTTTCGTACTACGAACTGCCTACCTTCACGACACTATGGGCTGGTTACAGCATGACACGTGCATCCTGCCGCAGATGTAGAGGTGTAGAAAGGTGGGAAAAAAGGGGGCGGTGCTTACCTTACCGCACCGGAGATATACATAAATGCATGGGCTGTGTAGATTGTTCAAAGCCCGAAGATTACTCTCTGTGGTCTTTCTACGATAGTAGCGTATACTAACGATGTAATGTTAGGTTAGAGAAATAACCCTAGGGAATGTACTGTTTACAATAATGATGTATGTTAAGTAGATAGATTAATGTGTATTAGGTTAGATATTCACGATCGGACGTTTTGAAACCTCCACACTTAGGTACTAACTAGCAATGATATTGGTAACATATACTAGTACAACTTACATACCTGTCTCTGACGTCGGCGGGGACATAACGGCGCGAAGCCTCTTTTTACTCTCTAACTCTTTGCAATCTAGTTTCTCTAAACCTCCGCCTTAGCCATCGTTCGGTCTGCCGTTCTGCACCAGCGCTACCGTTTTCTGGACCCGCTGTTAGGCGTTCTTGAGATATATTCTCGTTTCCCATTACTAGATCTAGAATACCCCGACAAGACATTTTAGCTTGGAGCATAGCCTAGAAGCTAAGGACGTGGGCGGGTTGTAAGCATACAAGAGATTGAGGATGCATATGGTACCGTATTATCGTAACTATGAGACACATCTGCCCACGGGTTAATTCTAGAAGGTAGACGACCCCATGTGCATGGCGCGCCGTTGCCGTTGACATAACTTGATCTGGTTCACCTTTTTTTCGGCTTCGGGTTCTGGTCCTGCTCCTACCAGGGAGCCCTAAAGCGTTCTTGAAGTCTTATTCGTCAAATTAAAAAGACAAGGTAAATAACAAAAAGGAAAATAACATTTCAGGACCCTAGAATCTTATACTGGCAGTGAACCCTATTTCTTAGTTCCTACATCTACACCTACACCTACTCTCCATCGACACTACGGGGAATATCTACCTAATGCTGAAGCAGGGAATAATTCTTGCTCTGCTTTAATATGTAATCAAATGTCCTTGTAGCTTGTATAACATGGGTCTCCACCCTTCCTATGAAGGAAAAGAAAAAAAAAGACATTATGTACCTTGTACTATGTAAATAAAACGGCGATGAGTGCCGTGAATATGGATTCCAGTGATCTAATGAAGCCATTTAGAGATGAACAAATAGGGCTCCCATAGGTACATGCATCTTCTGGGATTTAGCATGTAGCAGGGGGGGAATCTGATAAATGGAGATTGTTCTTTTGTACCATACACAAATTACACTACACTACGATCGTATATCATGTCGATGCTAAGATAAAAAAGAACAGGACACTAGTACAAATCAGGTGTGCTCTCGATTAACGGACCTTTGACGACTTGAAAAACAGTGATTGACAACAGATGGGAAGACAGATTATGCTGTGTACTTTGTAAATCGTGGGTGTCAGGGGTCCGTTAACAAGCCTAGGAGAGTCCACCACCGTCCTACCCTACCACGTAGTGTATTGTACTAATGGTCCTTTAGCCTCTAGGTACTCCAAGTAGGTATTCTTGGTAGGTACAATTATGTGATGTCCTCTACCCAATGACGGGGGCTACCTCAGAGGCAAAACAACTCCACGGGCGGGATACTCATTGTACCCATCTAGGTCTTTCACCCACGCTACTTGCTGACATCCCCTGCGGCCTCGCCTAAGAATGGAAGACGCGCTAGCAGGGTTGACCTTATGAGGGGGTCGAAATGATATACGTACCTCTACCATGTATGAGTTGGAGAGGGTTGACACGGTATGATTTTAAGTAAGGCTCTGAATCGACCCTCCGGATCCCTGTTCACCGCTGCCGTGGATTCTGCCCTCTCTGCCCTATCAACCCACATCTAAAAAGAGTAGCATGGGAGATCTACGTACCCTGAGAGGAAGCGCAGCTGCGCGCGCGCAAGTGTGTATATAGAATCCTGAAGCCCCCAAGGCATTACCGGTTCCTGTTGTCTCCATCTCCATGACCTCGGGCCATGCTAAACTACTTAACGCTACCGCATCCGCATTTATCTTCCCGTTTCGCTGTCGAGGTTACTGGCCGCATAGATCAATATATATAATAGACTTTGTTTATACCACCATACCCGGTGCTTGTCGTGTTCGACACGGGAATCCTCTTAAGTTATCGCCATCCATAGCCTCACCGCGTGAGGTCGTATGTTAGAAGAGTTATAAGATTGGAATAAAAAGGCATCACGAATTCGTGTGGCGCGACAACTCACTTCAACCGTTGCTCAAGCTTCGCGACTTACATAAACCTCTCATCGCTCCGCCGGCCTTCTTATTGATACTTCCCCACGAACGTCGCATTGCCAGCTCATCACGTTTATACTCGGTTCTATCTAGATCTCATTGGATCTTGATATGGTATAAGTCCAGACGAATGTGAACTTTTACCTTACTTCACCGCAAGTCTAGACCGGGGATCGCCGACAACGTAAAGTCATAATGGCTACGGTTGCCGACCACGCTTACGACATGTTCCCTCGTTCAAACGAGCACGACTTCATGCTCTATCCCGAGGCCCACCACCAGCAGCACCACCATCACCACCAGAACGGCTACACGTCCCCGACAATGGAGATGCACATGAGTCCAGGTGGTTTTAATATCCCCCGGAGCGTACAAGAAGAGTACCGCCCGGCTTCGGGATACGAAGTTAGCTCGATGTATCCGGAAACGCACCTCATGTATAGCAATAACCACAACCGAGCTTCTCCCAGCATGTTCCAAGATGATTGCGAGATTCCCGTTCCCGCATCAAGCCTTTCCACTGCCTCGGCACCCTCAGAAACGGCGTCGTCAACTGTCGGGTCACCTAATTCGAATCACGGCCAATTAGCTTTCTTCCCTGAGTACCAACACGCTGGTCTCAGTGTAAACCCTGGAATTGTCGACCCAAGCAACTACTTTTCCGGAACGGAGTATTCGACTTACCCAGGTATGGAAGACTTTAACATGACTTTCGTTGATAACAAGGCTATTGGTGAGTTGGCGCGGGTTTTATTTTGCATGATTTTTCTCACTTGTCCCCCCCAACCAAAGCTCTCTTAGGGCTGGTGATAATGATAGTTCATTGAGCTCGGTGTTAGTTTTGCCAGGCGCCATCATGGTGGGGTCAAAGTAAGAGGGTGCATGGATATGATGGATTTCTCTTGAACTGAATTACACAACAGCAACTCACTATGGAAGACCTTGACGTGCTGACCATGAAGCCCACTCTACAGACCCTTCACTAATGCGACCAATGGCCCCGCCAATGCAGGGGTTTGATACTTTCTCTCCTCAAAACCCCTATCCTAACTCACCGGCACTCTCTGGCACTGCTTCGCCTGCGCCGGCCATGCGCAACGGCAGTCAGTCTCCTTACACACACGCCTTTCAACAATATAGTCCTTTCCAGGCACCCCCTGCCGCACCCGCCAGGCGACAGTCTCTATCATCTTACCAGTCACACGCCTCTCACGAGTATTCATATAACAGCGACGAATCGGAGAAGAAGCAAAGATGTCCGCACCCCGAATGCGGGAAATCATTTAAAGACTTGAAGGCTCACATGTTAACACACCAGAATGAGCGACCTGAGAAGTGCCCCATTCAAACATGTGATTACCATATCAAGGGCTTCGCGCGAAAGTATGACAAGAACCGTCATACTTTAACCCATTACAAGGGAACCATGGTATGCGGGTTTTGTCCTGGCTCAGGCTCGGCCGCCGAGAAATCCTTCAACAGGGCAGACGTTTTCAAGCGACATCTGACTGCTGTGCACAGCGTCGAGCAGGTGGCCCCTAACAGTAAGAGGAAGGCAACCTCGATGAATAGCGGGAAGAAGCTGACTGGCTACGCGCCAGATGCCACAGGCAAGTGCTCGACCTGCTCGGCCACGTTCGAGAACGCCCAGGACTTCTACGAGCACTTGGACGACTGCGTCTTGCGCATCGTCCAGCAAGAAGACCCCGCGGAGGCCATCAACGCAAAGCGGCTGGCCGAAGTGGAGCACGACGAGGAGGTTCACCAGACCCTGGAGAAGAATCAGCTGCCTCTCACCACGCAAAGCGTCCACAACTCCGACGACGAAGAGGACGAGGACATGGCCGAAGACGAGGACGCAGGGGATGACGAGCATAAGGCGAGGAAGCTGAATTCCCCCGTAACGAGGAAGAAGGGGGGCAACCCACCCAACGGCGTTCAGAAGTCGCGGGGCTTAACACATTCGCGGGGTGGCGTGCAGCTCTCGGGTAGGGGCAAAAGCCGCAAGAACCGACGCGAATACCCGTCTTCGTGGGGCTTCGATAAGGGGCAGATGACGATGAAGAAGCGGGTCATGGCGGTATTCGACGGCCCCCGCCGACTAGCTAAGGACGACATGATGCTCTCGACCGAGCATGAGGTCCGCATACGACTTTCCGACGAGAAGTCGTACGTGACGGATCTGGACGTTCAGACGCTGAGGCGGGCCAACGGCTTCCACAACGCTACGGAGGAAGAGAAGGGAATATGGATTTCGGATGATCCGACCGAGGAAGACAGGAAGCGCATGGAGTACGGCCACTAAAAGAGCTGATGGGGGCGCCGCACTCGTATATATCACATCCAACCTATCTGTCCATCATCACCTAACCTCCCTGATCACTTGAAGTGTATCGATATATATATAAAAGCATCATGACGACCGAGACGAAGACTGGGATAAGCATGATTGGCGCAAGGTCTTGTTGTACGGTGGGATTAACTTTAATGGCATCTAAAAACCATTCAAGGGAAAGGGGGGATGGGGAGGGCTTCATTCTCCGCCGGGGAGATAGTTTATAACACCGGCGAAACTATAGAAAGGGGAGAAAGCAGATAGGTCTCTTTTGAAGACCATTATCTCCCCGAAAGCTGCTGAAACGGCTGCTAAAAATGTTGTATTATTTCTACTTTTCTTGGTGTATCTTATGTAGTTTTGATGGCCTGTATTGATACCCTATATCTACTTGTACTACGATGGCGTCGCGAAGTCTGGGCAACGGATTCAGCTTCATTCTCAAATAAAGAATTTATCACGCTTTCGAACCAATTCTTGACTACTGAATTTGAGTTCTTGGACTGATGTGAATGTCATTGTGTATAGCTTCAATTTTGTTTACCTATAGGTACCTACCTCTCACCTACATACCTAAGGTAGCTATATCAACTATATTGCATCTTAGAGTTGACGTATCTTTTAACAAGTCTTTTCCCTTTGCACGGCTTCTGCCACGGTATACATCAACCATCTCTTCCTTATCTTTCTTACATACCTACCTAACCTATCTAGGAGGTAGGTACATACATACCTCATATGTCACTCACATATGGCAGCATATTAGCAATGCAAATCCCGACGCAGTATTCAAATCCCATCTCGTCCAAGCGAGCCATATAGCCGTTCTAGGTGGTCCGATTGGAAAAGAACACATAAGGCGACGGGACGTTAATAAATGAGGCTTTTCCCGGATGAATCCTCCTATTGCCTGAAACCGCAGGAGGTTTGCGCAAACAGGTGAATATTTGCAGCTGAAACGGAGCATGTCATTTCCCATAAGGTTGCGGTTGCAGCCATGGCGGCCGGCAGCGAGATGAACGGGTAGCCATTGGACGGGGAACGCTGTCGGCTGTCTGCTATCTGCTGCCATGCTGTCATGCTGACAAGGAGTTGAGTTGGGGTTGTATATTGTACACCTACATCTACACTGTAAAGGATGGTATTATATTATACAATACAATACGCACATAGACACTGGCATGGACTGACGTCGAACGTTTACATTTACACAAGCGCGGCCCCGATAGAGGCCTCCGCGGATTTTAGTCCGTGGCTTCGATGACCGTTTCGTGCATTCGCGCACCGAGGCGCAGCTCCCGCATAACCACGTGTATTGCCAGGTATATATGTATAAAGAAAGGTCCCGAATCAAGAAAAGGTTTAAGGCCTTTTCTTTTTCTCTCGCAAGCGGTGTAGGGGCGCAGCTCACTTTGCTTATTTGCAGCAGGGGCCGTTGGGATCCGGCAAACATCACGTAACCACAACATCTGCCTTCAAATAGTACCGGGTATCGTTATCGTATCGTCTCGTTTTTTTATTTTTTCCTTGTTTTTTTTACGCATGTATCGCATAGCTTACCCAGGTACGGTTTACTGTGCCGCGTACTTAAACCTCATGCGAGCTAAGTACTTACACCTATACTACCTTAGGAGGTATATAAGCTATACCCACCTAGGTTATCTAATGAATAAGGTTAATATACAGGTATTTACACACTCCTTCTCCACTAACTAACTACCTTACCTGAATACATAGGTAACGAGTACTTTATAGAGCTACTCTATCAGTTTCCCAATTGTGCTTTTGTTAAAATAATAAATCAATTCCAAACAAGGTCACTGTCCTAATAATCCACAATAATAACTTCTTCTTCTCCATCGTCATATTCGCTACTCCCGTCATACTGTAAAATGCCACCGGCAGCGCCGTAAACGCACATGCAATACAGCCACGCCGATGGGCATCGACGAAGCGCATACCTCCGCAGGCTCTTCTAGATACTATGCTACATGTGCATAGCATTAGGTACGCTACAAAGTACACATATGCCAATAACACGGTCTACATGATGTCATCTCGATACTGTAGCACTACATTACATAATTACATAGTACCTGGTATATGCATTAGTGCTATTGCAGTTGTACATCCTAATATCTTTGCTTTGCTTTTTCTTCTTCTTCACTACCTAAGGTATATTATTGCCTGTACACATGTGCATCCTATAAGGCCCATGGGTACCTGTGTATGATACATAAGTACTCAAGTATTTACACAATTGCTTTTTTTTTTTTTCACATTGGTTCTATTTTAATATCGCGGGGGTGTGGCGTCTAGATACACACTAGGTACAAGAACAACAACAAGAAGAATTGATAGACCGGCTGACGGAGTGACTTTCCGTCAAGCAGTGTTTGCAACGGAATAGCTCCGTCTCTCACCAGCAAAGGACCATAATATGGTACGGTGTACCTACAAGACTATTGTATTGTACCTTGTAACTACTACCCAATACCGGGGTTCAAGGTTGTCTAAACTGGACCCAAAATTTTACTAGTCTCGGGAAGTCATCCACTCTCATCTACTTTCGGTATCGCTTCTATGCCCAACTTCTCATCACACGCGCTTGGGCGCAGAAGGACGACGACCAAGCGGCCAAGATAAAAAAAAAAAAAAAAAAAAAGGTCTCTAGTATCCCCTTGTCAATGGCCAGCACACAACCATCCCTGCATTATTTGAGCCTCAAAAAGTTACTCGGCCGAGCAGGATGGCCCTCACGAGCCGCATCTCACTCTACGGTCCTCCCTCCTCAGACCCCGAGGATTATCTCAGTTCCTCGCTAGGGGTTATCTTCCCAGATGATGTGACAAACCAGCATGGCGACGCAGAGCATTCGCTGCTCTACACGTCTCCGCACCTGCCCAGGCCCTTGTACATCGCGCTCGCGGATCCGGATCGGGAGGCCGACCGCAAGCTCTTTAGCCACTACTTGTGGAACGCGAGCCTGCTGCTTGCCGAGTTTGTCGAAGCCGACACCCTAGGCCTGCCCCTCGATGTCGGCTTGCGCCGGCTCCAGCCCTCCGCCTTCGATGTCGCTAACCTTGAGACACTCGAACTCGGCGCCGGCACCGCATTGCCCAGCCTTATGGCTGCCTTGCTCGGGGCCAAGAGCGTGGCCGTGACCGACTACCCCTCCGAGACTGTCTTAGATACGCTGCGCAAAAACGTCGCGGCTAATGCTAAGACCGAAAACTCGCCCAAGAACTCTCTCGCACCACTGACCGTCGAGGGTCACGCTTGGGGTGAGCTAGAAACCCCCTTCGCGGTAGAGCATAAAGGCCGTTTTGATCGTGTTTTCGTATGCGACTGCCTGTGGATGCCGTGGCAGCACACGAACCTGCATAAGTCCATCGCGTGGTTTCTCAAGGACTCCCCGGACGCCAGAGCTTGGGTCATAGCTGGGTTCCATACGGGACGCGCCAAGATGCGCGGTTTCTTCGAGGGTGAACCCCTTGCCGCGGCCGGGCTCGAGGTTGAGAGCATCTGGGAGCGCGATTGTGACGGCGTCGAGCGCGAATGGGTCTGGGACCGTGGTCACGAGGACATTAGCGTACGGAAGCGGTGGCTCGTCGTCGGTGTGCTAAAGCGGAGAGCGGCAACAGCTGGAAAGTGAGGCAGTCACTATCGACGAGGGGCTGAAGGCTCAATACGTAGATCACGTCCTAAAGCTCCCGTCCCGGCGATCTTATATTTTGGATCTCTAGGTGCCTGTTGGATAGATGATAATGCGAGGCTATCTATTTTCCACCCGACGAATGCATGGGCTTTAATTAAACCCCTTGGCAATAAGCTCAGGCAAAGTACAGTGTTGGGCACACAGCCGGCAGACCTAGGCTGTGTTAAAGTAATCACTGAGCAGCGAAGATACGCATGTGCGAATAGGTACCCCCAAGCGAGGTAACATGGGACTACCGTAGGTACTAACTGAAAACTCCACTACAAAGGACAGAACTTTTGAATTGCAGAAGCATCATGAGTTAGATTAGGTACCTACAAAAAAAAAGAGGGAAAAAAAAGAATAACGATTGTGAACGACTTGAAGGCTTTTCGATGGGTTCTTTCTATTGCCTGCTGATGCAAACTATTCGTGACAAGCTCGCCATCTACCAAAAGGCTATATACAACAGCGAACCTCGACCGAAGAAACCGGGATTTATACCTTAGGTAGTTTGAGCCGTTGGGTACTGTAGTCGGGCACAGAAACGGTAGCCCCCCATGCCTATTCCCTGGTCAAAAGAGGAGATTATTCTGTAGAAGTTTGAATCGGGTACTTCTGGCATTTCGTAAACAGATGTCGTAAGTCCTGCACACAACACAAGGTCTCTACTTTACTTTCGGGGGTACGTCCGCACTCGTCTTATCTGGTGAGGTGAGGTAGATAAATACCTAACCTAAGGTAAATCTACCAGTCACCTAGTTAGTTGCACTTATATCATCTCGCCCGTTATCCTAGTCATACAGAGGCCATATATAGAAATTCTATTCATTAATCCCCTAACTAACTACCTAATGAAGAAGGAGAAGAAGGAGAAGAAGGCTCAGTGCTATAAGATAAAGATACGCTACGCTAAGATGCTCGCTTCGTGCTATCCTGGCTGATGCAAATATGTAGGTAAACAATAGATATGCTACTTCAAGATCGACGTGTGCAAGCAATAAAACAAGGTATCTCTCTCTCTGTCTCTCCCCCTTTCTCTTTCTGTGTGTTGTAGTACTGAAGGAAATGCAAATGCAACTGCAGCACCATTCTGTTCGGGGATAAGGAATCGGTGTATAATGAAATAAAACTTCTCTCGACCGAACGAAGATAGTAAGGTCCAAATATATATAAACGAACACCCAGTGGGACATGTATCATAAAGCCCAGGATGGCTGCCGGTCTGGTATCCAGGTAGAAAAATAAAGACAAAAAGAAAAAGGTATTCCGTCCGTGTGTTAAGTAGGGACACTATCCAATATCCCAAGTAATTAGACCTTCGTGAGCGGGTCGTTCATCCATCATGCCGTTATTTTGTTAGATATTTTTTTTTCCTTCTTGTGTCATGTACCAAACGCCAAGCAATCCACCACCCATCCCCCTTTTCTCCAATTTACCGGGAATGTTTGCAGCCTTCCCTAGCTAGATGAGCCTCGTCGGACCTCTTGTAGCCTCAATGTTGACCATACCAACCCCAAGGAAGAGAAGCCATATTAGGCTTATTGGGACCTCGATGTGGTATGTCTAAACTACTGTCCCGCCGATAACTCAAATGGTAAATTTGCATCCTTCTCAAATGCGGGGCCGGGGCCTGAGTAGCTCGGTTGGAGGACGCCGGAGTGTCTCACTGCTGCCGGATGCTGAGAGATAGCGCCCCGTGGAATAGGCATGTCTTCGGTGGGAATACCCTCGCCCTTCTCGAACGCCGCTCCAGGACCGGAGTAGCTAGGCGCGAGCATGGGTGTCACACCTCTCGACTTACGATTTCCAGTCGTAATAATTCGAGGAAGCGTCTCTAAGTTTGACTCCAGGCTGTGAATTGCATTAGGATTAGCGCCGCCTTTGACTGGCTTCGGGCTCACGAGCGTAGCCGATTGCGCGATGTGATCGTGGGGAAATTCACCGCTGCCTTTGCCATCACCACTGAGCTTCTGTAGCAATGCATCGTGCCACTGAGACAGTTCCTGGAGCTTGGCTGCAGGGTCCTTGGTAGAGCGTAGTATGTTAGTTATATCACAGAGGCAAGCCTCAGGGGTCCACCGAGTCCCGTGCTCACATACCCATTCAGACTGCGCCGGCACACCTTGTGCAGCCGGTAGCTGCGGGTTGCTATCGTTACCACCGTGAACATTGTCGCCACTATCCCAGAATGTCCGGCGGACGGGCGCTGGAGTAACTGGCAGGCTGGGACGCTCGGCTTCGGTAGGGAAATCTGTCACCTTGCTTCCTCGCCTACGTTGAGTAGCCTCAGGTTGTTCAGCAGAATGCTGCAACCCTACGACGCCAGGCAAAGATTTTAGGCTCGGCTTCTGCTTGTGCCTCTGTATCTTGTCAACGTACCGCTCAATCTCTGGTACATCATCCCAGGCATTGGTCATAGTAAACGAGTTCCATGTGTTTGGTATGGCATGCATGGTTGGAGTAGTTGGTGTGACAAGCTCGCTCCTCTGATCATCCGTGGACGCATCTGTAACCGAAGGCGCATTCCACGCTCCACCGGTAGGGGTTTGTGCGCCGCTAGACAGCGGTTCTTCTTCCTCTTCCTCCTCTTCCTCTTCAACTTCCTCCTCAGGTTCCTCCTCAGGCTCCTGGGGGTAATCTTCAGCGAACACACGAGTAGGTGCAGATCGCTCAGTCTCCCAAGGGAATATCTGTTTCATGGGAGGCGCACCAGGCTCCCTAGGAGGAACATACCACTTAGGCGCGACCCATTGAGTAGTATCCTGAGACATGTGATACACCGTAGTGGGTAAGTTCTGAGCCTCTGGCCTGGAGTTTGTTGGGGGAGCATGCCTGTTTTCAAGTTAGCACTTCGAAATCCAGGGAACAGGTAATATGGTTTACAACAGACCTTGAAGCGTCCCAGCTTGATGAGCTAGATGAATATCCATTTTGCCCATGCTTCAGAATGTAAGTGTTCTTAGTGGTGCCATGAGACTGGAATTCTCCCTTAGTGAAGAACTGGACGAGCTCCGACGTTTTGTCCTAGATATTGTAAGCCGAGGATTCAAGAATAGCAAAAGGTGTAATGTAATAATAGGAGACGTACCGATCCACTGTAGTGTCGGTCATAAACCGCCCACCATTTCCCAGTCATTTCGTTAAAGGGCGCACTTCCAGTTGTGGAGCTTCTGCCTTGGAACCACGGCTTGTCGGGACCGATGAAATGAACCAGGTTGATGCCCGACTGGAAATGGCGATAAGCAGGAACATACTGATAGTGAGCGGAGGGGGTAACATTGTAGGCGAAGCTAAGGCGGTTGTAATCCTTGAAGTGCAGGTTGATAAGACCCTGATCAGCGCCATCGAACGAGATGCTCCTCTCTGCCATCGCCAACATAGCCTGGTAGTCACTCAAGTTCGGTGTTAGAGCCATGACACCGGTGTTGAAGAGATCGGGCCAGCCAATGTCGGGAGCAGCAGAGAACGGGTGAGGTAGGTCAAAGAGCTCGTCGGGAGCTCGGTAAGCGACGACATCGGCATCGATGTAGACGATCTTTCGGAATTGAGTCTGCTGCCATAGGTTGATCTTGGTAAAAGCGGAGTGCAAGTCGGCTCGGCCCATCAGGTTCAGATTCGCAGTTTGGGTATTGCGTATGGTGTTGACTGGAATGATGTAGTCATAGACGGTCTATTCCATTATGTTAGCCGGCTGGAGCAATTAAAAAATGCATAAACTAGGAAACATACCTCGAGCTCGGTGATGACTTCGGGTGCTACGGTATCCCGCGTAACAAGGGCAGCCAGCTTCTTGGTTGTGCCAGCATCTCGTAGAGATTGCGCAAGCACCAAAGCACCTTGAAAGATGTTAGAAAAAGCAATGGCAAGATTACTAGAGGTATAAAAACATACCGGGCAAATATGTATCGCTTAGAAGGAGCTGTATGCCGATAACGTATTAGCTACCATTAACACAATCCGTGGGTATTTCGAGCTTTCACTCACTGTAGCGTACACATCCTCCTGCGGTCCGTCTTGCGCAGACATTTTGTGCAAGTGGCGATAAGATCACGCCAGACAAGATATGGTCGAGAGGGGTAAATAATGGAGATGAAGGTATAATATTTGAAGAATATTGACGTTGGAGACGTATATAATATATATAAAAAGCTTAAAATCTCTTGCTAAAGATATCTTCTCATAAGATGGACGATAGCTGTGAGGAAAGCAGTCGAGGAGTTAAGTGAAGCTAGGGGAAAGTTGTAAAATAATATTATAGCAGGACAAGTTGTTTTATCTGCATCGGTGAGACGGGATGGCCTGTCTAGTTGGCTGCAAAACAACCCTGCCGTTTTTTCTTTCTTTTTTCTTACTTCCTTGCACTTTGCCTTCACAATACAAGGTTGAAGAGGAGATCATCAAAATGGACCGTGTTCGACAGTGTAAACGCAAGCCAAATGCGACCAAATACGACGCTAATGTTGCTTCCATCAGATAAACAAGGATTTTGTGTGGATTAGATGTTTATTCTTACATATCTTTGGTCCAGCAATGCATTTATTTGGGCCTTCGACCTTAGTGTTTTCGTCTGGAACAGCTTAAGGCATTGTTGTAAGGCATTTGACGTTAGGCATATGTGCTTCAACCTAGAAATTAGTTTGACGATTGCTGAAGATGGGATTGGTCGAGTATATGAATCTATCGTTTCTATCTAATTCCCAACCGAATTGATAGGTATCAAGACTCGTATGTTCTTGAAAATTCTTGAAAGAAAATACCTACCTACCTACCTAGGTACCTTAGGTACCTAAGGTATGCAGACATGTGCATATGTACTCGAATATGTACGGTTGAAAGATGAGTTGAAAGATGGAAAGACGGCGGTATCGCGGATGGAACCTTAAAAGTGGAACTTTTAAGGACCTATCATAATATCATAACCTTATCACATTAGATAGGTTAGCCATATCAGCTCTCTCTAAGCTGTTTAGGTGCACTATAATCCATCCTTTCATCAGTTCACAACCCCGCCAAAACCCGTAGCTCTAGGTTAGGTATTGTACAGAGAAGAACTAAAAACAAGATTGTATCCTTTTTTTGATGAGGGGTACATTTGTTCCGCTTACCGCCCCTCTGGTTGGGGAAGGCCTCGAACGTTCTCGTCTTCCCAGTAGTCACAGCTAAACAGTTGTATATATCCACAACACCACATATACCCACAAATATATGCGAATCCTAACAACTTTTAGAGACACATTCGCCTTCCAAACGTCCAGTAAACAACAATCAGGACCCACAAACGCAGCAAGGAAGGTTTAGTAGGATAAGCGCCCCAACCGGCATACATATTAGATGGATTAATTATATCCAACCATCGAGAAAGAGGCGAGAAAAGAGAGAGGAAAGGAAGGATATTATGAGTAAAAGATATTGAAGCATTAATGTTTTTTAGAGGTTTTTTGTGTGGTGGCTTAGAAAGGGTTCGGGACCATATGTTACCAAACTTTGAGGACCCTGTGCAAGCCAATCGTCTCTCCTCAACTAGGGATGCCGGATGCTACCTAGTACATATGACATCCACCTTAAAGCACATGTAAGTATTGTTTCACACATGAGATCTATACTTCTGCATGCCGATCCATACAATCAGAGAATTCAAACCCGGAGATATACGAAGTACAAGACTACTATATTAAATTACATGCACTTCGAGCACTCAAGTTATAATAGGTAAGGTAAGCCAGCTTAACACACATGCCATTCTTCTGCATATGTGTATGCATTAGGTATAAATTCATTCTAGAATTGTATAAGCCGTTTTGTGACAGTTTGTGTGTATTACATTACATGTGAAATGACGACACTTCTTTATCTTTTTAGAAATGGGACTATCCGATAACAAATGAGGGGAGGAGCTGGGGGACCCCGCAAAAGGGACTTTAGAATTAGATACCTTAGTAGGTACTTAGGTAACCTAAAGTTACCTGACCTATCTGACCAACCAAAACTCATAAATTTACCTAAGGCAACTCGAGAAAAACCCGAGTTTACATAAGGGAGAAAGTTCTTTTCTTTCATTTCACTTATGTTCTCTCCTTCCTCCCCATGCAATCGTATACTAATAATGCACATACATACTAATGTAATGGAAGGAATAGGTGGCGAATCCTAGGGGAGGGTTTATTTGCCACACGTCCCGACCGCTCCCTGCGCTCCCGCCCCCCAGCCCTCCTAAAAATTCAATGTTACATGCCAACATGCCAACATCCATGATGCTTGACATGCATGTGCGGAATACGTACATAATATATTAGGTTTGGTTAGGTACAACTTCTTATAGGTTCCGAGAGGTCTGCGTTTTTAAAACTCCATAATTCTTCACATATACGCAGTTATTGCTAGTCCATCCAACTTCAGCCTAACAAAAAAAGTATCCACGGACAACTGCCCAATATCAAATTGCTCCGATAACATCCCCATCTCTCACAGGTTAGAATGGAAGCATCTTGAGGAATATTCCAAGGCGTCGTAGCCATTCGACATCAAGAGCTTCTCAAAACATTACTCATTCATTATCCATACGTTATTCATTCTTACCTTCTAGTCGGGCCGCTAGCAAGTGTGGATCATTCTTATTCCTCTAATCCCTAGTATCCGCGGATCGAATTAGACTTAGACTCGAAAACGTCATGCTAGACGGAAAACAAGAGAGAACTTCGTGAGGAGAAAAAAAAAAAGTTGCCCACGCCCCTACAGCAATGTGCACAGGAACCACTCATTCCTGCGATACCAATGACAGCTGCGTAGTAAGTACGATTCGGTTGCATTTCCATAGAGCTTGATTCCCTAGAATATACACTATACAACTTCCAAAATCCATATTATATCAACACACGAGCTGCGTTGCTAGAACCCGATCCCACGGTTCTTCTTCGCCTTCTCTGAATCGCATACCATAGTGTGCATCTACTATTTCTAGAACTACTTCACTGCCTAATCTACCTAGACAATATACATAATTGACAAACCATTATTATACTCATAGGCATTGATCCCTTGTGTTCATACACATCACTCACTCATTCTCTCGCGATATGCTCTTTAGTATATAGTATGATTGAACTAATGAGACCACGTCCTCTATTACCTAGTGCCGATCTTCCCTATACAGTTACGATACAGACATGGCTAGCTCAGAGAACGAGTCCTTATTTCTCAAGCTTCCATTAGAATTGCGCCTAGAGATATATTGGTATCTCCTATGTTCTCCGGACTACATTATAATATCTTCAAGGCGACGACAACTTCATTGGTGCCGTCCGCAACTGCCCACGTGGGGACTTCGCCGAACCTCCCACCGAATGCCACACGTAGAGTTGCTACGCACCTGTAAGCAGGTAAATTCGGAGGCAACTCCTATTCTCTACGGGAAAAATCAATTCCTCGTGGCCTGTACGTGTCCAGAGTTCATTTTGAATCAAGCTTACGTTGACTTCCATATTAACAACTTGAGCATTACGAAGTGCCCCATCTGGCACGCTTTTACCCTAGGAACTCCTTCTTATGGAATTTGCGGTACTCGACCATGTCCGATTTGGCTTCCATCACGTTCGTTCGTGCCTGTCGCGGTAACTGTCCGGAGTGGTTGATAGCGTGCGCCACCAACAAGGAGTTCCTAAATATCAAGGAATGGACTACGACAGGACGTCAGCTGGCCAACTTGTGTTTTCCGCACTACAGCGAACCGAATTTGCTGCCCTTGTCAAAAGCAATTCGAGAGGCGCATATTCACATTTGCCACAGAATTTCCGAAGACAAGTCTGCGCAGATGGAAGGGTACACCTGTTGCAGGCATAGGGATGCCATGGTAAGCAGAACGGGCCGTAACGAAGAACTGGCACCGATGAGATTCTAGATCCTAGGGCTACACTACCTACGCACACGCTGACATACTTGACATGATAATCGATATCTGCTATTCTGCTATACTCCATCGTAAATAAAGCGCGGGAAAAAAATAAATGACACAGAGGAAATTTCGATGATAGCGGTTAGGATAATTCCTCTCAACGACGAGAGCAGCATAACGCCGCCTAATTAGCGCGATTATAGATTTCTAATACAGCTATTAACTGCCTGTTTTTTTTTTTACTGGGCAGAACTTGTTTGGAGTTGTGTTATTACGTTACACTGACTTGCCCTCTTTTACATCTTTGGACGAAGCAGGGGAGGCTGTACCCACCGATACGCAATGTACGGCTCGGAACTGGGCCTTGTCGATGTGTGACGTGTCTGCGTTCATGTAACCTGCTCGTAATCTATCTCGCGGCCAGAAGGACCTATCGTGCGGAAGCGAGATAAAAAAGACTCGGGCTAGGATTTCTATAGGGTCGGAGCTGATGTGCGACTGACTGAGCCTTGTATTGATTGTCGCGCATCGCAAGCAACGTCGACTCTTGAAACCAAGCCCCATGAATGAGGCCTTGGAGCAGAGGTCTTAAGCTGATGTTGGTCGGCGATGGTAATGTACCTGGTAGGTAGGTAGGATAAGTTTAGAGATATCTCGGAATGTTCGGGGTTTGTCTTGAGCTATTGTCGGATATGTCGTACCTATTAATTAAATTCAGGATAAGCTTGAGCAGAAGCCTACCTAACTGAGATACTGTAAACCCAAGTCAGAAATCCCTCGCCTGATTCCGATATCAACGACTTGCGAATCACATCCTGACTGACGTGTTATGTTATCGAAAGTGAATGTCTGGGCATAGACATTCTGTTTGGGAACTTAATTAACGGTTACTACCTCTTACTACCTGTTCTAATAATAAACCCACGCCCCCCTTGTCTCTTTCGGGATGACTTTCTAAGCCTTGTGTCATGATGTTTTTTTATACGCCTCTACAATGAAACGCCATCACGATTCACCACCATCATGTGCTAGCTCGTAAAGTACCTTGTAATTGACTCCGACCTCGTGTATATTCTCGCGCCTACTATGAATACCGCCGACGATCTACCCGTCTACCCGCCTATCCGCCTATCCATCTATGTTATCTTGCTAGGTACCTTATATTCTTCTATTTCATGACACGCATACTCACTACCGCGGGGGACGCCTATAGGTCCTTGCGATAGCTATGCTCGGGCTTATGCGTAGTCTCGTAGTCGACGTGGACGTAGGCGCGCTCGATATTGGGGAGCTTCTCGAGCTCGATCTGGAGGCCCTCGGAGACGTCGTGGGTGACGCGGAGGGGGTCGGCGGGGTCCATAACGATGTCGATCTCGGCGATGAGCTTGGGGCCCGAGTGGTAGACGCGGACGGTGTCGATGCCGCGGACGCGGTCGTCGTACGTCAGGCACACGTACGTGATGAGGCGGTGGACGTCGATGTCCGCGGCGCGCCCCACGAGCGTCATGAACTCGGCGAAGGCCTGCCGCAGCCAGGCCGCGCTGATGACGACCGAGATGAGGATCGCGCCCGCCGGGTCCAGCCACCAGGTCAGCTTGGACCCGCCGACCGAAGTCAGCACACCGAAGCCGTTGACCAGCAGGTCGTTGCGGTGGTCCTGCCACAGGATGTTCACCTGGCTGTACTTGTCCTTGATGCCCCAGCAGTACAGGAACAGAGCGAGCTTGGTGGTGAAGGCCACGCACACCGCGATCACCGAGGGGAGGTGGAAGCTGTTAACCTCCGCCGCCGTGCCCCGCCGGCTCGAGATGTCCTCGCACGAGAAGGCGATTAGGATCGCCGACACCGCCGTCATCATGAAGCAGAACGTGATGTTGCCCACGGTCTCGAGGCGGGCCTTTCCGGACGGGAACTTGTTAGGATCCACGCGCTTCATGGACTTCTGGACGATGATCAAAGTAAGGTTGCTAAGAGGGTCGAATATGGCGTCGGCCATGGTAGTGAAGAGGGACAGGGAGCCGGAGGACACGGCGCCGTAAACCTGGAGGGCGGCTAGGAGCACGTTGGCGACGAAGGAGCCCGCGACGGCGATCTTAACCCGTAGGTTATCGTCGCCGGCCTCGTTCTGGGCTTCGGTGGAGTGCTCATCCACCGATTTGAGCATCTGCTTGATGGTGTCGTTCTGCTTGTGGTAGAACGTCTGGATCCTTCTTGCTCGGAGGGAAGAGTTGAAATAGTCGATGCCCGAGCTGACGGCGCCCGTCCGCTTACGAGCCGTGTTGGCCTTGATCTCGTCGATCTGCTCGGCTGTCTTGAAGGCCGACGACAAGTTGTAAGGGTCATTGCCGCCGTAGCGCGTGGGACCGGTCTGTGACTCGAGGTCCGTAGATGTGCTGGGCGGGTGGCGAGCCACTGGCTGGTCGCTATGTTCATCCATGGCTTCTACGCCTGTACTGGTGGCATCGTGGTGAGGAGTATGTGGGTGATGAGACTGAGATGTAGGCGTGTGAAGCGAAGATCGAGAGCTGGAAGTTTGCCCGTGCTGGTAGTCGCTCAAATGCAAGCGCGAGGCAGCGGCAGGTGGGATATCAGAAGTCATAGCTTCGCGACTAATGTGTAACGGTCGAGCTAAGCTACCAAACTTAGTACCTATGTGTTGGTCAAGCTCGGATATACAGTCGGAGATGTTAATTGCTCCTATCTCTAGGTGAGGAATTCGATAGGCGCCGTATGCAGGTTTGTGAGATGCGCAAGAGGGGGAGAAGGAAGATGTTTATAAGATCTCCACCCCTAAAAAAATATGTGTGTATTCCCAAGTGTGCTGGTTCTATATAAAACCAGAGGAAAAAAAAGTTGTAGCAGAGCTAGTATCACACGAATTAGTAAGTGATTAGGTACTGTTAGATACGTAAGATACATACATTATTAGGTAGTAGCTTTCAGTGGCAAGTGCCGTATTTCATAGAATATATCACAATTACATAAGGTAAGTCAGCAGAATCAGACGGCGAAGTCTTTGTATGCAAGGGGGAAATGGTGAAGAAATGTACTACGTAAACGCTAGATTCTGCGTACCTAGTACTAAACAATGACTGACTACCTGTATAAGTCAGGTACCTAAGTAAGTAACAAGACTAGTATTATTAGGAGGGAACTAAAGGAAGAGATTAGGTATAGGTTAGGTCTAGGTAGTCACCATCTATTATATTTACCGTGGAATTCGAGAATCCAAGATTCAGCGGTGAGATTTGCGGTAATAAACCACCTTTTTTTTTTCTTGTTCCCCATGACTTACACACATACGCTAGCCCTACCTATTTTATTATTATCTCACCTCTCTGGTCCAGCTCCAAGTCCAATACCAACAGCTCTACACCTGTCCTGATACGCTATTGGGCAGAGCGAAGGAAGTGAGCACACTATGACGAACAGAGCTTTAGCTTTTAGCTTCACCGTGGCAAAGGGGGCCAAAAGTTGCGAAGAGCGGAAATAACGATGGAGCCAAAAGCCGTTCGACGCTCCCCCCAGGGCCCAATCTGATAAAAAATCGATATAATAAAATCCGGCAATCGAACACGCGCTCGAATCCGCCGTTGTGATTTGTCTGCTGGATAGACTGACTCAACCTTAGACAATGACTAGCAGTAGCAGTAGCAGTAGCACGTAGTACCCAGGTACCTAAGCTGACCTGGCTTGTCAATCGCAATCTCGAACCTTAATAACTTAATAGGCCGCCCGAGGCGAAAGGTTGCGACTAAGGTAAGGTAAAGGTAAGGTTAGCGTATGCGAATCCTCGTCCGAAACGAAGGAGGATGTGTGTGGAGAATGAGGAAAACTTCCAGAAAACAAAACAAAGTTAGAAAGTTAATGCAGACGTCAAAACGGATCGGGTCGAGCTTTTTATAGAAATCAGGAACAGCAAATCGTCTTTTTGCGTTTCGCATCCTGTGTGTCCAAAGGGGTTCCCTACATCATTGAAGTACCTAGGTGCCTATAAACCTAACAATGTACAAGGTCATGTATAAACAAGGTAATGTATCTTCATTTACAACGTCGACCTAATAGTCGAATCTTTGCATCTAGCATTATTTAAAGTAGGCCAGGTTAGAAGATAAGTACCTACCTAGGTACCTAGGCTATGGTAATCACCAGCAAGTTCCACACTTGGATTTGGATAACTATCATTTATAACTTCTCTTATATGGGTGCATATCATGCAACATAATTGTCTTTCTAGAAAAGATCCTAGATAAACCATCATGATATTGCTCATCCAATTCCTTACCATTTAACATTCATGTATACCGCCCATACCTACATAGTATATCATTTCCCTCTAGGGGTATCAAAGTCCGGTCCTCTATCCTGTCATATACTAAACCATGACCGTATACCCTCCTCATGCATCCGCGCGTCGTAGAGGATGCGCTTCCGTGTTCAATACCCATTCGTCCAGGTTGACCAGATCCCAATCCCCGAAGATCAAGTAGAAATACTTAAGCGTTTCCGCCAGCCAGAAGCTCTCCATGCTGTCCACCTGCGCCGGCTTCTTCTCCGTCACGTCGTCTAACGCCGCCGAGGCGTACTTCGACCTTGTCCATTTATCTACCGCCTTAAACATAGCCCAGGCCTTTTCCATGTACTTAGTATCCCCTGTCAGACGCCACATCATGAACACCGACTCGATGGCCTCGGGACGTAGGAGGTACCGGCGGTCGTCAACATTAACCATACCGGTGGGCAGATTCCGTTGCCCTATGATGTTGTCCTTGATCTGTTTATCAGAAAGCGTGCCGCCCTTGGTATTGCGGCCCCAAAACTTCCTTATCGCTTCCGTCCAACGTGTCTCGCTCCATTGGCAGTCGTCTTTGGTAACATCTAGGTCACAAGGGATGAAGCGGAACAGCTCGGGCCCAATACCCGAGTCAGTTTGATTATACGACCATACGCACCCCTCCGTCAACTGCTCCGCTACCTCCAGATCCGACGGGCGGTCGAAGATCTTAGCTGCCATACCCACCATACCTCCGGCAAAGCACGTCAAGTGTTGTGCTATCGGGGTGTGTACAACCTCCTCGCCGCCCTCGGGCATCGTGACGACCCTAGCGTCACCGAAAAAGAGCAATTTCAGATTGTCCGGGTTTAGCGCGCGGCGGAGAAGGTATTTCTTCGCGACGTCTATGAAGTCTTCGTACATTTTGCGGGGTTGGTCGAGGGCGCCCCCGAGCAGCAAGTATTGCTTTCCCAGGTACTCGAAAGTACTGTCGGCCATACCGCCCAGCGTAAACGAGTCCCCAGAAGACTTCAGAGGTGTCCTTGAAGGGTCCACTACTATCGGCCACAGTCCCGGCAGCGAGGTCGACTTTTGGTCTTTTTCTAGGCCATCAGCTATTCTTTGCACGGCATCATAGTATTGCATGTCTCCGGTCAATTGAGATAACTTAGTAAGCTCAAGGCTAAGTGACCCAATTTCAGCCAACAGAGCATGCCCCGGGGCTACCTGTGACTTGCCCCTAGCATAATCCTTCCAAGGAAATCGCGTTATGGGCATGTGGTTTGGCGTGTCGAAACACGACATTACTAGATCGGCCACCTCGGTCGCCTTTTTAAGCAAACCCGGATATTGTTTCCCGCTCAGCTCGTACGCTGCTAAGAACCCTCCGAGATAACGAATCGTCGTTTCGAAGATGTTGATATCACGGGTCTCCGTCCTTGAGAAATCAATCGTCTCGCAAGCATGCACCGCAAATTCAAAATCATCTTTCATATCAAGGAGCCAGAGGCTGTCCAACGAATCGACGAGGGTTGCCGCCCACCCGGCAAAAGGATCCTTATACAATCCCGAGAGGGGCTTGATCTCATCATGACCCCACGCATATTTCTTGTAGCCATTCCAACTGTGTTTGAAGCTGTCCTTGACAGCAGCAAGTCTCCGTAGGCGCAACTCTTTATCGGAAGCACTCTCCTTCGGCCTCGCGGCTTGTACACGCGGTATCCGTTTGGAAGGTCTATTTGTCGGGAGCGTAGCGGGTTTTTCGACGGGATACTTGGGAGGACGCTTTTCCCACTTGATGGCTTTCGAACCAGCTGATGCCGATGTAGGACGATTACCCGGACCACGCGTAGGATTAAAGATACCCGAACCAGCGGGCGGGTGCCAGCTATAATACCATGACGCAAGGACCCAAATGCAAATTGCAGCGATAAGTAAACGGGTGCGACGAAAGGCCATAGCTGCGATTATAGCAGATTGAAAACGTAAATCTAACGTATATTACTCTAAAAAAAATGGGCTTCAAAGCTAGCGAATACAGTCGGAAAGGAAGGATATTCACATCGCTCGAGTCTAGATTGTATAAAATCAGCCTGGAGAACTGACGAACAGGTCAGCTTTCCCAAAGGCAAGCAGGCAAGAGATCTTGAATTCGTAGCTAAACATCAGATGAATGAAATATCACGGTTAAAAGATTCGAGCAGTGGGCCTATGCGTCTGTGGGACGTAAGTTAAGGGAGTTTTGTTGGTTATAAATACTTGTTTTTGGTGGTAAAGGCCCCAATTCAAAGAATAAAAAAAAAAAAAAAAACTTGGAATTTTATAAAAAAAAGGGTAAAAAAGGGGTTCACATAACGGAGCTTCCCTGTTAAGCTTTTCCGCTTTCCTCAAGCCACGTTCTTAACCCCACATAGGCTCAAACATAGGCTCAACTTTAATGTACCTTCTGGCCCAAGCTCCTTCAGATAAAGACCATTAATTGTAGGTACCTAAGGCATAATTACCTAACCTAAGGTATACACTGCTAACCATCCAACGTTTTAGAACTTTTATAATTATTCTCTTCCACTGGAACATCCAACTTAGGTAGGTTGAATCAACTATTCTCTCCGTGATATATCAATAGGTACCTAAGTAGGTAGTTCTTGGTAGGACCCTATTTGTCTAAACCAGTAGGCTTCAACTAGTTAGTCACTACGTCGATTAGGAAACACCCAGTCCGTTTCATTGAATGATCCATAACAAGTAACAATGGTATTAATAGTAACTGTAATTGAAAATGATCCATACCGACTAGATTGGATCTAATTGATTAGGTAGTTCTTTTGCTCTAATCTTCGTACGTTGAGTTAGGTACCTACCTAGGTAACTTATACTCCAATAAATAAGGGGTGTGTGTATGTAATAAACGATCTTGAGGTGCAGAATTATTGTCAAAAGTTAGTCTTATTAGAGTAATTTGATAAAAAATCTACCTAGGTATGTAGGTATCTAATAATGTTTGTAATAGAGAGGGGTAGTGCGGCGAGTAGTTATGACCACGGTCAATAACTTCAGTTAATAGATTTTTCTGTACGTAGTGTTTTTATAGTTTTCGGTGCCTGACTTAGTGAAAGTTGCCCGAGAGCTTACTAGGAAGCTATAGGTACCTAGGTACGGGTACCCAGGTAGATTAAACACCTCAGGAGGTTAAGTTTAGGTATGTCTAGACTCTTGTGTTTAAACATCAACAGACGCTTCCACGTCTTGAAGTGTACGCTATCTTGTATCCGAAGGGGTCTGAACGAAGGTGTCGAGTTACTACGCTATGATTTACAAGTCACAAGTTGCAAGAAAATCGTCGTATAATTAACGTCGAATGAACGATGGGACCTCATATCAATCAGATGCTATACAAGATACGAACTACGAAGCTCTGTTCTGTAAGATCGTAGGCTTATAAATTTCACGTGGTAGTAAATATAGTAGTATGGAGGCGTACGTTAAGTCACACCGAGATTGACGTGCTATTGTTTGATCGGGATATATAATGACAGCCGTTGGTGGAGGAGATCCTGCCCGTCTTTGAACCTAACACCATTCATGTGTATACCACCACCAGGTTGGCAAAGCCAGCTCGATCAATAGCATCTCTCACTGATCACGGCCCCGAGAGAAAGGAAAAGGCTCATCGCAACATAAGAAGTGGGTATGACGGCAACGAGTTAGCTAAAATCTAACAAGTCCCTGCTTTCTTTTCTCCTTTTTTATTTCTGCATCATCAGCTGGACGAACTCGTTGTCTAGAGGTATAGGTTAGCATAAACAGAATACATAATTTATGAGCAATATTTGCTTACAGTCGATGCGACCGTCACCGTCCTGGTCCGCCTCGCGAATCATCTCATCAACTTCGTCATCGGTGAGCTTCTCTCCGATGGAAGTCATGACGTGACGAAGCTCAGCAGCAGAGATGAAGCCGTTGTTGTCACGGTCGAAAACCTATTTACGTATAAGTGATTGGATTTTTTTTCGTATGTAAATAAGAGCGGCAAACCTTGAACGCTTCTCGGATTTCTTCCTCGGAGTCGGTGTCCTTCATCTTTCGCGCCATCATGGTCAAGAACTCTATGCGACCCCAACGTCAGTAAGGCTTTGAGGTGGTACAAAGTTGCGCCAGGCAGCAACAAACTCACCAGGGAAATCAATGGTTCCATTGTTATCAGCATCGACTTCGTTGATCATGTCCTGAAGCTCAGATTCGGAGGGGTTTTGACCCAGCGATCGCATGACGGTACCCAGCTCCTTTGTTGTGATTTGTCCTGGTAGTTTTAGGGTTAGTCGACTTGGATCGTTGGTATAGGGGGGTACGAGGTAGGTGTGGAGTAGATAGAGGTGATGGTGATAGAATTGCTTGCTTATATCGATGCAAGCAAAGGGTATCATGTTTTTTGATAATGTCGTCGAGATAGCAACTTACCATCACCATCTTTGTCCTACGCGAAGTTACTAATTAGCAGGTGCGTCATCAAAAGATAGAGCGATTCAACAGCTAGCATCGATAGCTATTTAAAAATAGACAAGTGATTTAGGTTCGGGTAAGACTTACAAAGAGGGAGAAGGCCTCCTTGAACTCGGAGACTTGCTCTTCAGTTAGGGAATCGGCCTGTTATGGTAAAAACACGAGGTCAGCGCGAGTTCTATTTTCACCTCCTTAAGAGCCCCTCATCGGCGGGGTCTCTTTCTAAGTTGGCGGTGACGATTGAGCGAAGACATACCATGATTGTGTTGTTTTTGAGATGCGATGAATGATGTGTTATAGGGTTAGGATAGAGATGGGAGGTTAGCGAAAGAACGAGTGTCTGCTAGTTTCGTTTCGCTATCACAGTCAACTGCAGAAGATATAGGTTGCCAAGGAGGGAAGAAGGGCGTCTGGTTTTGAGAAGCGTCAAGGGTTTGGTTCAATAAGAATTAGGAAACAAGGCAGGGCTGGATTTGATAAAATAGTGGGGAGGTGGATGATGGAGGGGCTTTTTGTATTTATATGGGAAAGTACCTAACCTACCTGGTATAGGTGTAGGTACCTATTAGGGGTGTACCTCCCTAAAAGTTACCTAAAGGGGTGAGGAAAGAGGCAGCCACACAGGGTTGCCTCTTTTTTTTTTTTTTCTTTTTTTTTAATCCCCTTCTCTCTATTACTCTTTCCCTCTAACTACTATAATAAGTATAACACATGAATTTATTATGAATTATACATTAGGTTAGGTTAGGTACCTGGTATAACTATGTCATATTTATGCCCAAGGCTAGGTATAATTCAGGTATTTGTACCTAGGTAGGTATTCTCAAAGTCCTAACAAGTCCTACAGAAATCAACTGCATATCACTTACATTAGGTAGTGCCTGAGTGCCCGTATGGTGCGACTGGAACCGACCGTGCGCTATTAGATGATCGGTACCTAGCTCACTCACGTTTTAGCGGTGGAGGTTAGCAAGCAGGCAGGTCGGCGGTCGGCACACGTAATAGGCTAACAAGTTGACTTGCGTCTATCCGTAGCATCGATGCACGTTTAAATGCCAATCAAACCCGAATATTGAATGTTGAATGTTCGTCACTGGCAGACTGGTCAGCCCTGTAACCCAAAAAAGGGAGCGTACGGCCCAGACTGGTCGAAGCTACGTCAGCTGTAAGAGAGCCGGCAGAACGTTCCGCATCACTGCATCGCTACATCGCTGCATTGATGCATCTTTCAACGCTTCCATGCTTTGTAAATCTGTACAATATACAACACAATATACGGGACTCGATGATTATTATACATTTTGTCTTGCTGGCGCATTTATCGTACCATTATTACTTCCCATTATTAGTAGCCTTGTAACTTAAATCAAAACATCGTCTTTCCAATTTTCACCGTAAAATAGTCTCTCATCCCTCCCCCAATTCATTCCCCATCGAATATCAGAATAAGCCAAAGTGAGGGTGTTAACACCTTCTATCCGCGTCCGCCATGTGGCGAGACCGCACCAACCTGTGAGTGAGCCCCCTCCAGTCCACTTTATATATATTTTTACCGGCCCGTCCCTCGAGAGACTCTTTTACTTACATTTTCCGCATCTTTCAATGTACCTAGCTATATATCCTACCGTCAATCCTACACCCACCACCCGGCGAAGAAGACGCGATTCGGCCCCGGCCCCGGTCCCAGATCCAGCGCCAGCGACAGAAATGGCTTCCCGGAATTCGCCCGCGGTAGCGGCGCCGGCGCCGAGGACCAGCAGGGCCTGCTGGCGGGGGCGGACTACCACGACGACGGGGATGCCGTGATCGAGATGGACCTGCTGCCGCCGCGGTGGGCCGACGTCAACGACGAGGTCTCGGACCTGCTCGCCGAGGTCGCCCGCAAGTCGCAGATGCTCGAGCGCCTGCACCAGAAGCACGTGCTCCCCGGCTTCAACGACGAGGACGCCAAGAGAGCCGAGGAGGCCGAGATCGAGCGCCTGACCCAGAGCATCACCAAGGCCTTCCACGACTGCCACCGCTGCATCCAGCGCGTCGAGCAGATGGTCCGCGAGGGCAAGCAGAGCGGCACCATGACCAGGGCCGAGGAGACCATGGCCAAGAACATACAGATCAGCCTCGCGAGCCGCGTGCAGGAGGCCAGCGCAGGCTTTAGGAAAAAGCAGAGCGCATACCTAAAGAGTAAATAAATAATGATACCCCCCTTCGAATCCGACGTACGGTGATTCTACTTCTACCCGGCAAGTGCTAACCCAAGAAATTCCAGAGCTCCGCGGAATGTCCGGTCTAGGCGCTTCGTCCCCCATCGGCGAGCGGAGCTCGACACCCCTCGGCGGCAGCAGCAGCAATTATAGCAGCAATAACTACGCGGCGGACCCGTCGCTCCTAGAATCGGACGCGGACCGGTCGTACTCGCAGACGGCGCTGCAGCAGACGACGCGGCGGCGGCAGCTGCACTCGAACGACGCGGTGATCCTGCAGCGGGAGCGGGAGATCGAGGACATCGCGCAGGGCATCATCGAGCTGTCCGACCTGTTCCGCGACCTGCAGGCCATGGTCATCGACCAGGGCACCATGCTCGACCGCATCGACTACAACGTCGAGCGCATGGCCGCCGACGTCAAGGGCGCCGACCGCGAGCTCGTCGTCGCCGCCGGATACCAGAAGAAGACCACCAAGCGCAAGCTCATCCTCCTGCTCGTCCTGCTCATCGTCGGCGCCGTGATACTCCTGGTCTTGAAACCGAAACATCACGGCGGCGGCGGCGGTGGTGGTGATAGTAGTAGTGGTGGTGGTGGGAGTAGTAATAGTGGAACCGATGAGGGAGGAGGAGGAGGAGGGGGCTGACGTGACGAGAAGGGCGTTTCCGGTTTACGCTTGTCGTACGTTTGGGAAATATGTAGGAAATACGGTATATCACATTTTGGCTCAGGTAGTATTGCTGAGCATTCGAACTATAGTTGTCGATCAACCTATCACGAGCGTGGGACGCATCGACGAAGTCCTGCATCAGACAAAGCTTACTTAAATCTTAATTCTGTCTTAAGAGATGTATACCCTTGTACCTGTGCTGCGTATAAATCCGTGGGTATCTTGATTCTATATTATATATGTACATACATACAGGCGTCAAATCTATGTCTATATCACAGCATGATACGGAGTTGAGGCATTGTCCTTCCCTTGCTCAGTAGATATTCTTGATCTTTTATCATGATCTCGTGACCGCGGGCCTCGATCTCTTCTTTGAGCGCCTCTAGCGGTGGAAGTAGTTCTTCTCCCCAAGCCTCATCCAGAGAAGACTTCATTTCCTTCAAGGTCAAACTGTTGTTTGCTCTCGCCAACTGCCATGTTCTCCTTGTGGGATAACCAGGCCCATAGAATGCGGTTAGACGTACCTTAATCAAAGAAGCCAAGTGTGGCTTATCAACAAGAACGCCCCGGTCGCGAAGAGTGCGTAACAGTCTGACGCACCGGGCGGCACCGATATTCATAAACCGTTGACGATGACTTCGTCCGGGCGTTATTGCCCAAGAATACGTTTGGGGCTGGAGAAAGGAATAGCGTACGATAGTGCCTATCAACTTACTATCAAATATCTGGCGTAGCGGGTGCTTGGGTCTTGAAATTGGTAAATCCAAAGGAATATATATACCCAGGAGGTTTTCCACACCGGATAATGGCTTTGTTATGGGTTCCGGTATGTCCTCCGGGTGGACAGGAACGAAACCCGGACGAGAAGATTGGAAGGAAGTAAACATATCAGCCAATTCAATGCTGAGTTTTTCCAGGTCGTCTACCCTGCTTTGTCGAGTAAGAGCGAATAGTATCTTCCTCCAACAGCGAACCGGGACTGGAATTTCCATAGCTGCAAGCTGCCGGCAGATAGGTAGGTAAAAGTAGAGTGACTCCTCTGGCATAAAAGTGGACTTGGCTTCGCTGGTAAGATTCTTAAAAAGGAGATTTGTCAGGTTGGAATCAACTGTAATTCTCATGGCCTTCATATCGGCTAAGAGTCTTGAGAGCCCTATTCGGTCTCTGCGTAGAACATACGATTCAGCTAGTGCGTTAGCTGTTTGGCGAGTCGACTTGTCCATTACTGCTAGCTGCGTTGCTAGCATAAGTCGATGAGTCCTCCAATCCTCCGAGTTGGCAGTGGAGACGAGGAGTTGCGACTGTAATTCAGAGTCATCAAATACGTCCGGATGGAGGTCGCTATGCAGAAGATCAAGAAGAAGCACATCGTCGTTGACTTTGGCTAGGTAGAGAACCAATCGCAAATAGTTAGAGTCGACAACTGATATCCCTTGCTCTCTTAGTTTTTCCATGCGTTTCAGTAAGCGCTTCGACGTCCCTTCTCTAAGCGCGATCGATTGCAAGGATAACGGACCAATCTCACTGATGCCTAAAGCTGAGATGGTCGAGATGGCCGCGTCCAAACTGACCCAGGAGCTTGCCAGCCACTTAGCACCTAGTCGGTCGTTATAATTCTTGACGCCGATGCCGAATGTCGCGCCCTGCACCCGATTTACGAATTCCCGAGACATTTCAATTTTTTCTGCATCTTCCTCCGACTCGTAAACCAAGTTATCGATCGCCGCGGACTCCTGAGGGTGGAGTGACACCCAGTGAAAGTATGCCTGTATAAATCGAAGAAAAGGTCGAACAGGCACTGGTTCGAGAGGTAAGTCGTCATGTTGAACGCAGACACATCGCCACTGCCAGGCTAACCGGGCCGCGCCCAAGTTATATAAATATGGAACGAGAATATCGTACAGCCTATGATCATGATTCGCAATGTACAAAGATTCGAGAGTATGGTACAGTTCCTGGTCAGTTGCGAACTGCTTGATCATGCTAGCAAACTCGTCTGGGCCCGGGTAAAAGTTCGGGGTTAAGTGAAGCTGCCATTTCAGAGCTTGTTGATGTTGGTGAGTGCGCAAGAAGTGCGATAGTATTGTCGAGTAGAGTTGCGGCCATTTTACACCGTGTACCTCATACATCCACTCGCTGTAAATCCAGACGCTTGATAGGAATTTGCTCTCTCCGTGCTTCACTGCAGCTTCCAACATCGTTTGCCAGAACGCAGGCGCAAGAGGACTCTCGACATCGAATAGAGACTTGCGACCCCATAGGCCTTTCCAAACATTCCAAACGCCTAGGTCCCCATTGACTCTCTTCTGGTAGTCCAAGAGAGCACTCCACAAGGCAAGATCGTTACGGTTTTCGAACCTGTCTACTAGCAGCTGACTTCTCCATTCTTTGGCTGGACCGCGCCGGTAGAAGTCGGACTCAACCGAGAGACGGAAAGGATTTGTTAATAGAGGCCTCCATTGCCCAAATAGTTTTGCCTCTTGGATTAGAGAGAAGGCCGGCTTTTGTTGCTGAGCAGGCCTTTTCTGTGTCACTTGGACATCTCCAGGCAGCTCCGACAGGAGAACACCAAAAGGGCTTCCTGAGCCGTTGAATGACGACGCGGAGGAGTAATATCGCGCGTTCTTCACATGTTTGGGTGTGGAGAACTGAATATCCCTCCTATGCGACTGGGGGCGTCGATGCGATAATGGAATTCGAGGATGGAGGACAAAATGCCTTGGCTTCACATCTCGAAGGGTTATGCTCACCAATCGCATTACTGCCATACGATCACATATTGCTCGACAACTTGTTCGACTTAGTGTAGCCTCAAGGACGAGAGGAAGCGGGTGAAGCAGGGATTTGAAAGATAAAGAGCGAATGGCTGCAAGTGGAAAATTACCTAAAGTTCGAAATTTTGAAAAGATGCAACTTTTAGATCGGGATTGATACCCTGTATGTACCCTTACGTAAGGTGTTTTCCGTACGTAAGCCAATAGGTACCTAGGTACCTCACCTGAGGTACGGTTCCTTGAAGAAAATTGACTTGGATTAATGTCTAAGCTTAGCCGAGGTTTTAACGCTTAGTCACGTCGGAGCACTACCTAACCCAGGATCCAATCGTTCGATGCTCAAATCGCTTGCATTTAAGCTTTCGTCAACAAGCTTCTTGTATGCAACATTTCGGATCAGTAACCTAGGTAGCTTACGAACAACCCCCCCAAAACATCTACAAAATGGGGTATGTATATACTCCATATTATAACACCCTCGCGACGGATCATGTGGTTACCAATGGCTTCATTCCGTCTACGGCGCGGGTCCGAATATATTCATCGTGGAATGAATTAGCTTCGTTGACGTATGCTAACCAGTTGCGCAGTCTAGTCAACGCCCCCAACAAGGTGCCCGAGCAACAGCGATTTTACCAGCGAGCTTACAAACAGCACGTCCGTCTCTGGAGGATCGTATGTTTCCCGTCTTTTTACGTACTTTCTATCAGAGGTCACCCTTGACTGACCGAATATCACGCAGAGCCCGCGAAGCCCCTACCTACTCGTCCCATACAACATTCTTCTCTGGGGCACCGGAGCAGGTTCGTTCATCGCACTTCATATTGTCCCAGCTTGTTCTAATAATGATTATAGCCACTATGTACATGATGGGACGTAAGATTCTGGGTTACAACACATGGTTCGGCAAGTCCTAGATGAAGAAGCAGATGATAGCGCAAAGGAATAGGATTGTAGATGATAAAGGCAAGGATGGCCAGGCATATATCCTTTTACGTCAAGGAATAGAACACTGTTCACACAATCCCTACGAGTTACTCTTCTACTTTTATGGGCTTCCAAATCAACCCTCACCATGTCCAAGTTGTGAAGTTAAATAAATCATCCTATTACGCCCAAGGCACAAGAAACCTCTATAATGCCTGCTATTTACTCGTACATGAATATTATCTAAGTACAACCTGGGTTGGTCTCAATCCATCCGCGAAGCTGCCGTTAATAAATCAACTAACTAGTAGACTTTGTTGGCTAGGTAGTCATGTCTGCGTGTAGTATTGAAGGTATCCCTAATATCCCTCGGCTCCGGGGGCTTTCTCATCTTTGCGCAAGCTCATGAGAAGCTCACGGAAGCGCTCCTTGCCCGAACCGCTAGCACCGCCCTTCTGGCCTTTGCCGCTCACGTCAACCAGCTTGGCGATGCGCTCCCAGCTCGTACCGCCGGATGTGGTGTCATCTCGACTGGCCAGGAATTGCTCTGCCTCTTTTCGGGTCTGCGCGATCATCTTCTCCTTCTTGCTGTTGTAGTTCTCGTAGAAATCGTCGATGTTCTGTTGAGCTTCTTTGATAGTCTCAGCCTTCTGGGCAGCAAACTGTTCGGCTCGTCGGGCGTTGGCCGCATCCCTCTTCTCGCGCCACTCCTTAATCACTTCGGGTTCTTCCTCTTCTCCGACGTAGGCGTTGAAGCCCGAGTTGTAGCTGACAGACGGGCCGGTAATGGTACCACCTGGCGCGACTTGCTGTTCATTGGCAAATGTTAAGGATAGGGTCCTGTCATGGGTAGCTTAGAAATTACGAACCTCATTAGAAGTGCTAATGTCGGGGAATTGGCTTTCGAATTGGATGCTCTCGGCACCACCACCTCCCAGAAGATCATCGGATGAGGGATCTGCTAGGGCTGCAGACTCGTTGCCCGTGGTAAATTGCGTGGCGTCATCGCCAAGAAGGGCGCGTTCGCGAGCGAGGAAGTCGTCCGCTGACGGTGAACCGACATCTTGAATCTCGGTCTGGGCTAGAGAAGAGATGTAAATGATGAGCGCTCAATGTCAGAGAGAAAAAAAGGGAAGAAAGGAAACAAAGAAAACAACTTCAAAAAGTAGGGGGTTAACGCTACTTACCACCAGAATCAAAGTCGTCTAGCGACGGGAATCTATCCGCCATATTGACAATAGCAATATGTGATCAGGTATTTTGGGAGGATAATGGTAGGAGATTTCTGTCTTGCCAGCACTTCACGTCGAGGTCGTTATGCAAAGAAATGTTGAAGAATTAACGATACATATGCAAAAGGCAACTTGAAAGTCTGACGCTCTTGCAGGGCTTAAAGCTGTACCTAGGTAGGTACCTAGCCTCAGGTACGGTGCTTTGTATGAAGTACACATTACAAGTTGCAAGCATGGATTAGAACACAGTGCATTCAAGGCGTTCATCACATGGCTTGGAATAATGCGCACTGTTAATATCTTATTGGGGCAGTTACGCTGCACGCATGGTAGGAGGTACGTACCTATCCACCTGGCCTTGTGAAAATTGCCTGTGCTGCATGCTGCGTGCTGCGGTGTACATAACACTAATCACGTGCTTGGATCTCTCCAATCAGAAAAGATCTACGGTACCTTATTATGTACGTTCCCGCTTGCATGGCTCCACAGTTCAAACTTCAATGACTTTCCATTTCATGCATCCTCGGACCTCTCTACATTTATCAAATTCAACTACCTAACTTAAAGCTAGATATCACAAAACAAAAACAAACAAGCAGCACCAAGTAGCAGTCTTGAGAATTGGTCCTTGCCAACCTTTTCGCCTTCTACTTTGTGCCGGACTCAAATTATTTTCCCCTACCCCCCGCCCAATAGGTAATATTTTGCAAGTACCTAGGCTAGACTACCCTTGACTTTTAAGCAACGTTTTCGTTTTCGCGTCTTCAGCCCGCGTCAAGATGAAATCCTGGTAGCCAACTGTAGATTGATTCATCAAGTAAACTACGTCCTATTTTCACAGAAGACCCAATCCAGTTCAGCACAAACACAAACCCAGCCCTTACCTAATCTATTCAATTCCCCGTTTCAACAAAGTCAAACATGGCTTACACCGACGATGCTGTGTTGGCCAAGCTATCTGCCCTTTCGGAAGCGGCAGACAGCATTGTATCCGTATCTCAGTGGATCATGTTCCATCGGTAGGCAAACTCAAACTCAAACTCGAGCGAATGCCCATTAGGCATTCCGTGTTGCGTAGTAAACAATTACTGACATATCTGTCGAACCCCAGACGCCATGCAGATCGAACAGTGCAACTGTGGCTCCAACGCCTTAGAGATTCTACAAGTCACAAGCGATTGAATCTCATCTACCTTGCCAATGGTAAGTGCTCCCAACATGTAGTGTCTAGGCAGCCGTATTTCTACCAACATGCCATTTTTTGTCAAAGCCTAACTATATTACTAGAGGTTGCACAGCAGACAAAGGCCCGTCATAGAGAAGATTTTGTTGTCGCCTTCTCCCCTATCATTGCAGAAGCCGTCGCCACTGCTTATAAGGGTGCATCAGCGGACATACAGCAAAGAATTAGACGGGTCGTTGACGTCTGGAAAGAACGCTCCGTCTTCGAGACACCTATCTTAGAAGCCATAGAAGCTCGTGTCCAGGGTAAGCTTCTACTCCCTCGTAGCATTTATGGGTGTCATACTAATTAATTCTACGTAGAAATTAATGAAGCCCGTGGCACTGCTAAAGCTGGACTGGGAGGCTCAATATTTGGGTCCGCCTCCATTCCAGCGGAACTAGCCCCTCTTACAACTCCTCAGCAGAATGTGACGAAGCTGCTTCTGAGTAAAAAGTCCACGGTCAACACGGCTAATCAAGAATATGATAAATTGTTGGGACCTAGAAGCACCGCCCCTTCTGCTCCTGTATATGCTGCTCGCCTAAGCGGATTGCTTAAGACGCTAGCCCAGGCCGAAGGAGCAGTAGATCAATGTGTGAAGGCTCGTCGCGAGCTTGTTGCCGCTCTGCAGAAGGTCCTAGACAGCAACAGGAATGCACTCATATCCGAGGAGGATCAACTAGAAACGTTCGTACGTCGAAGGATGGAGGTAGAGGATAAGAAAACCGAGGTCGAAAGAGCAATCATGGCAGGGCTTCCAGATGACGAGCCATATTTTAGCAATGTCCAAAATGATCATCCAGATCCAGAACCCGACAGGCCGGAAATTGAGGAGCTCACGCCGCCGCCCATGGAGCCGGAGTTTCCGGAACACACCAACGCAACGGACAATACAGGTAGTACCCAAGAAAGCACCGACCAACCGCCTATCGTGCAGGATATCGACAGCCACGCTAATCTTGGCGTTCAGTATAAGTCGGTGCCAACTACGATGAACGGGTCTAAGAAGCGTAAGCTCGATGATGGCAATGATTTCCCCGACCTCGGAGAAGACGACGGCATTGATTCAGACGTAGCCGAGATGCTTCGTAGAGACAGCAGCGGCTCGTAATATTGGCGAATATTACTTGAGCCGTGTATTTCCAACACACACTCTGAATGATATTTGTCGAGATATTGAGCAGATGATGGATACGAATCGATGTATACCTTTTAATGGCGAAGTTGCATTTCAGGGTGGCTCTTTTTTCGGTTTGATGAAAAAATCGTGCGAGTTTGATTACATCCTTGTTCATCATGGATACATTGCGTTTTTCTATTTACCTACCGGTATGATATGAGTTAGGTATAACTGTAATCCACGCAGAACAGCAGAGTCCCTATTTTACCTTCGAAGCCTTCGAAGCGTACTTCAGTACGTGAGTACATGAACGCTTAATATACATGTATCTTTTCTGCGCTAGACTCTATAAGGAACAGCCCGAAGTTGTGCCGATCAAAGTAATGTACAATCGTACGTATTTCGTACATACTAGGTACCTAAATACCTAAACCTAGATGATGCATAAGCCCGTCTAGAAGCTTCAGCGGTTTTAGTGAATTACTCCGTACGAATGACGGCATTAATCCCAACTTTTTTTTTTCTATCACTTTACCACCGAGGTTACTAACAAACGTCGACCAGGCGAAAGTAAAAAGATAGTGAAGCTCGAGTCAGCTTCGCTTCTATAGCGCGAACCCTGTATAAGGGAACACACCTATATCGATCGATGACGACCCGGTGAGAATAAAGCTCTCAAGATGCCTTCGGGAGCATTGGGTCGCGCTGTAGTGGGATGCCTCCCGCAACGCGGCGTCGGCATCACCAAGAGCTTTTCACACCAACCCGCTCTCCTGTCATGCTATGGGCTTTGCGCCCCTTCTAAGCGACCAATTGGACTTGATCCTCCTTCGCCATCGCTCTTCCAGACCTCCCCCACCGTTTTCAAGACGAATTATCACTCATCTCGCAATATCCGATCGCAAACGCCGTCAGCCTTTTCTCCGAGGCTCGGCGTTACTTCCACGTCGCGAATACGAGTATCGAATCCGCCATGGAACTCTCCAGCTGGCGTGTTAAAACAACTCTCTACGAACCAACCGTCTGGCCGGGAACATCTTAATGTGACTACCCCGAGTAATGAGAAAAGGGACATCAGTGTCGTTGCGTCGACGACGGCTAAGAACACGGAAGACAATGCGCAATCTTATGAAGGCTTCGGAAAGAGCGAAAAGGCTTCGAAGGCAGCTCAGGTAAATCTACGCGCTCGTCTTTCCCACGATGGGAAAGATGGCAAGAGAATGTCAGCATCGTTCAACGAGGTTTGGCGTCTCATCAAGATTGCGCGGCCAGAGGCTAAAAATCTTATCATTGCTGTGGTCTTACTGCTTCTCTCTTCGGCTCTCTTCGTCTCGCTCCCTCTGGTTGTTGGCAAAGTCATGAATCTGGCTACCGCGAATAATGCTGAGGATACGGTGATCTTCGGCCTGTCGCTCTACCAGTTCTTCTTTGCGTTTGGTCTGGCTCTTACCCTTGGTGCGTGCGCTAACTTTGGACGTATCGTTCTGCTGCGCATCGTGGGTGAGCGAGTTGTCACGCGCTTGCGATCACAGCTATTCCGGAAGACCTATAGTCAAGATGCCGAATTCTTCGATGCGAACAGGGTTGGTGACCTAATTTCTCGACTCGGCACGGACACTATTATAGTAGGCAAGAGTATTACGCAGAATGTATCGGATGGATTAAGATCAATGGTCAACAGCGTTGCGGGACTTGGATTGATGGCCTGGATTAGCCCTAGCCTCACTGCCATTATCTTGCTCGCCGCCCCTTTCATTGGTACCGCCTCTTTCGTATACTCTCGCGTCATCCGGAGGATCAGTCGCAAGATGCAGCAGAACTTGGGAACTCTTACTAAGATCGCCGAAGAACGCTTGGGAAACGTGAGGACCAGTCAGGCTTTTGCTGGCGAGGCTCAGGAGGTCCGTCGATACAACAACCAGGTCAGGAAAGTCTTTGAGCTTGGGAAAAAGCAGTCGATATACGACGCATCGTACTTTTCTGGAACATCCTGGATGGGAAATATGACGATAATCGCCTTGCTCTGGTTTGGCGGAAATCTCGTGAGAGACGGCGTAATGACAGCTGGCGATCTGACTACTTTCGTCATGTACACGTTCTGGGCCGGTGGTGGTTTGTTTGGTGTCGCCAATTTCTACTCAGAACTCATGAAAGGAGTCGGCGCCGCTACCCGTATCTTCGAACTTCAAGATCGGGAATCGGGTATCTCCGCGACTAAAGGGGTCAAAGTCACATCAGCACAAGGTCCCATCAGATTTGAGAATGTCTCCTTCGCCTATCCTACGCGCCCTGCTGTGATGATCTTTAACAGCGTAGACTTTGAGATACCGTCAGGAACTAATGTGTGCATAGTCGGGCCCTCGGGTGGAGGAAAATCGACCGTCTCATCTTTGTTACTAAGGTTCTATAATCCCACTTCTGGTACTATCACGATTGACGGCATGGACATTACTAAAATGAACGCTAAGTCACTACGACGCCGCATCGGGATGGTGTCTCAGGAGCCAGTATTATTTTCGGGTACAGTGGCTGAAAATATTGCATATGGAAAACCAAATGCTACAAGAACGGAGATTATAACGGCGGCTCAAAAAGCCAATTGTGGTTTCATTGCCGACTTTCCGCAAGGTCTAGAGACGCAAGTCGGCCCCAGAGGCGCCCAGCTGTCCGGGGGTCAGAAACAACGCATTGCTATTGCAAGGGCACTCATCAAGGATCCTGATATTCTCATCCTGGACGAGGCTACTTCAGCTTTGGATGCAGAATCTGAAACAGCCGTCAACCTAGCCTTGGCAGCACTACTCAAGGGTCGCCGGCGTACAACTATCTCTATTGCTCATCGTCTCTCTACGATAAAGCGTTCGGAAAAGATCATCGTACTATCTAACCAGGGCACAGTCGCTGAAGTTGGATCCTACGAGGAATTAAGCGCGAACCCGCACAGCGAATTCACCCGACTGATGGAGTGGCAGATGAGCGGAGGTGAGATTTCGACAAAGCCTCATAATCCCTCACTCTCGGAATCTGAGATCATCGAGGAAGAACTTGAGGAAGATAACGACGAGGAGCTCGGTGAAGAAGAGGAGGAGGAAGTAAAGCAAAAATCGAAGAAGTAAGAATTGCGCATCTCATACACTACCTCCTATACAACGCAGATTTTGCATGAAAACAACGGAACGGCGGCGAAAGTGTCTCGCGATTTTTCTAGTTTCCTGCGTATTCACGGGGGACACTTGCAATTAAAAAAGTTAGGCTCTTAGAGAAGGGGAAAAAAGGGGGGCACCGGATATGCGAGAAGAGCATGTAGGAGGAGAGGTGTTTAGGTGATAATGAACGAACAACTCATATGTATGTATAGTATGTACGTGTACCTAGAGTAATACGTCCGGAACTCCACTCGATTTAGGTAAATAGTATACCACGGCGAGGCATAAGTCGGGCTTAGGGGAATAGAGTCTGCGGATCCCCTTGGATAGAAAGGACAAGAGGTAGGTAAGGGCTGGTTGGCTCGACGGGGCGGGGCTTGTAGAATAATATATACACCTACGGTGCAATAAATAAAAGGAGTAAATTGTACTTGTTGTATATCAGCTATTGAAGTGGCTCCCATTAAGTAAGCTTTCGAGTTTACCCAAACGAAGTTGTATAATATGTTTAGTGTACCTGTTATACAAATATACCTTCATAAGAGAGACCTTGGGCGCGATGATTGTTTTCATGTTTATTATTTATTGTTTACTGTTTACTTTACAACAGTGAGGCGAGCACATCGTCGTCATGCGACTTTAAGCTAAAGTTAAATATGCCCCTATATTCGTTTGCGTTGCTTAATGTAGTTGGTACTCCCCGTGCATTGGTAAAGGTTGAAGGTTTTAGTTACTTAGATACCTGGTATAGATCTATAACTTTGAATTCGGCCACGTATTGTTTTCATATCTATCGCTGTTGTAAATGACTTAGGTACCTCATATATCACGTTATATAAATATATATATATATTGTTTTCCAATTTATGCCAGTATATTTTTGTATGAGAATTTAGCCCCTATTCAGGTGGTGTCACAATTAGGAGCCAAGATGTTTCCAATATCTATCAAGCCTTCCAACCCGCTGATGCCTTTGATATTCTAGATAGTTCAAAACATCTCATTCAGTAAAGGCTTCTTTTTAGCTTCGTAGGAAAAGGCTCCCATCAAGATACTTTAACTAAATCAGTAACTCGAGCCTCAACACTCGTTTAAACCACAACGAGAGACTAAAGAGACTTTTTTCGAATCGCCACGTAAATGATCATATTATTAACTTAAATTGTGTTACGTCCAAGCCCTCGTTACTTAGTACCTGTTTACTTTCTTGGTCATAGACTTTACGACTATTGGAGTTGCAGAAACAGTCTAACCCTCCGAAGACTTTAAATCAAAATGATATGCGGACAGCAGAATGTTATAAGGTGAATATTCACCACAGCAACGGATTAGACTTCAGGATGGCACGGTATAAAAAAAAACCAGTTGCCACCTGTTCTTGGACCATTTCGCGTTTCCCCGACTTCTCTGGACACACTCTGGAAGAACCACAGATCAACAATCCATCTATTCAAAAAGCTCTTGATTCTGCTGCTTTGAAGTGTTCGACGGCTGTTGACTGTATATATACCGTAAAAGTTATCAAAAGCTCACTATCTTATTACTCTCCTACCTAAAACTATCAAATACTCACTCACGCCGTGGAATTTCACATGAACCCACCATGACGTCCGAATCCGCGGAGAGGTTCTACCACCTCTACCATCAGTGGCCACGTGCGATACTGGCACGCATGGTCACGCCATATTTCGATTTGGATCAACACATAGCTATACTCACCGGCCCAGAGAGGTAAGTACCTACCTACGTTATAAGAATTGCCCCGTCCTCACACTCTGACTGTCAGTATCCCGGACGTAACCATCTCGATGGAGGAAAGGAAATGGGCCGTCCATAGCAGCGTAATTGCAAGCGAGAGCAATTTCTTTCGAGCGGCATTAAGATATCCATTTGTGGTAGGCTTTATTATCCCTCTATCTTTCTTTTTCTTCCCTCTAATTTCTCTCCTCTTGCTACCGACGGCACGCGTTAGGGTTAGGTGCCTTAGGTAAGTACCTAACCTAGGTTCCATTACTAACTAGAAATTAGGAGAGCCAAACTGGAGTCATCTGGCTCTACGAACTCGACCCCGAGCTAGTTGACTTCGCCATTCACTATATGTACAACACGGATTGTAAGGAATGCACTCCATGCACCCCATGTCCCCCCCCCCCCCTTTTTTTTTTTTTTTTTTTAATTCTCTTCTTTTCATCACTCTCTTTACCTACCTAGGTACCTAAGATTAGTACCATACTATACCATACTAACTGTACGTGCTTTTCTTTCCCGGACAGTTGACAACGCAGCGAGACGCGTCTGGAACCACCCGGGCTCGGCCGTGCCGCCGCAGACGACGGCGGACATCCTGGTCGTCGCGGACTACCTGGACATGCCGGGGCTGATGTACCGCGCGTACCACACGCTGGTGACGGGGATGGCGCGGCTGGCGGCGCGAAAGTCGCAGGTGGGGCCGGCGTACGCGGGCGAGTCGTGCCCCATCGACTACCTCGGCGCCGCGGGAATCCTCGAGGACAGCGCCACCATGGTCGGGCTCGACCTCGGCGAGCATATCAGGACCCTGGCGGCCAAGCTGAGCAAGGCGAGGAGCTTTGCCAAGGCCAGGGACGCGTTTAAGGAGGTCTTCCCTGACGAGAAAGCTATTTTCGACGCGGAGCTTGCGCGTTAGAGCTGCGGGGCTACGGTTGCGAAGGAGGAAGTGGCGAGGATATTGGTGAGCGGTGCCCGTGGTAACAGGTACAGGTACCTATCTACCAAGGTACTTGCGCACGAATCACGGGAATCGGTATATATTTCTTCAGTTTATATTTCTTGGGTACATGTTTATTCGTTGGGATAAAACTTTAAATAGTCGATGCTTCTATGAAGCATTTGGGAGGCGTATCTACGAAGTGGAGGATCTCTCATGTCTCGTCATCATCATCTAGGTATACATTGTATGTGCTGGGATCATTACCATTAGGTATCATTGTCAATATAAATACAGGTTTAAAACTGAGCTCGTAACATCATTCTAATTATTCGTGAAGGAGGATTTTCCCTCGTTAGGTATAACATCTCTGTAATCTTCCCCTTCTCCACCCTAGTACCTTCGCCGGAACATCCCCAACAAGCCACGGTTGCTATCCGAGCTCGCGCGGGGCGTCTTCTCCCTATTATACGCCGACGTCGCCGCCGCAGGAGACCCCAGCTGTCTGCGCGGCGTGCAGCACGACACGGTCCAGAAAGCCAGCGCCACGAACATGACCGCGAACGCGACCCAGGAGATGATCATGAACGGCGTGCCCTCGATGGCGGAGATGCCGATATCGGCTCCCTGGTCGTTGATCTCCGACGCTCCTCTCTTGGATATGGCGGTCGCGATTGCGGCGCCGACCGCAAGCGACAAGGCGGCTAATAGGGCGAGCAGCATGTTGAAGAGGATGGCGCCTCGGCCGATGACGTCGCGCCTCAGCGTCAGGAGGACGATGCACGATAGAAAACACAGGCCGGAGAAGCCGGCGCCGAGGACGTAGAGGACGAATGTTGCCAGGAGGAACTTATTGACGTAGTCGAGGGATTGCTGGATCGAGTCCGGGATCGGGATGTCAGCCGCGTTGATCTTCAAGGGGCCGTTATTGAGCTCCCGCTGGATGATTTCGGTGAGATTGAGATTGACTAGATAGAAGCTAGTGTTAGCTACCTAGAGGTATCCCTATCTACAATGGTTGTTTATTTTCTTTTCCCCCGTTGGAATAGGTATGGTATTGTTCAGGTTAGGTACTTACCTCCCGCCGACTGCGCCGTGCAGTTTGTCGTATTATACCAAGCGCCCGGCGAAGTCGCATTGGGCGCAAAGTTGCCCTCGCAAGCCGTCATGACGTGCACGCTGTACCACTGCGAGATGCCCAGTTCGCGGGAGAGCTGGTCGGCGACATCATTTGCGATATCGTTCAATTCGTCTGTGATCTGGCCTTCGATATCGTCGAGTCCATCCTGAATGTCATCCCAGCCAAACCCATCGTCGTTGGTGGCTGTGGGTTGGGATCCGGACGAGCTTGAAGTCGGTATGAGATTATGGCCAAAGGTAGACATGTTAACCTAGAAATTATGTTCAGCTTGCGGTTTTTTTTATGTTTACGCGGTTTATGGATAGGGGACGTACGGCGATGATGTGATATTTCTCTAGCGATTGCTTCTGCGATCCGGAACCAGCGAAGAGTGCTATCATTGCTAGCACGAATCCCGCTAGCGACAGGAGAGTCGGGATGACCACCGTCAGTGGTCTGGCATAGCCTCGTTTAACTGCCATTTTTTTCCTTTCCGTATCTGTAGTAAGGATAGTTAACTAAATCTAATAAGTTGATGGTCTTCTTGCGATCAGATAAGGAGTTTTAAGTTGGCTAAAATGAATAAAAGGGGGGGGAATAAAAAGGGGGGAATATCTCAAGCTAGTAAAGTTAGGTACGATCGAGATATAAATATCGAGAAGGACCAAGACAATAGAACAAAGGCAATGGAATAAAATGTTACATTGTCGAATACAATGGGTAATTCACGAAGGTTTTGTAGTGCCTTAATCCTCACTAAGTACCTAATCTATGACCATCGGACAACAGCTTTGATATCGCGACATGCATCATGCACCCAAACAAAAACTCCGAAAGGGAAAAAAGGCCATCATCATTCATTCGTCCAAATTCTATGCATAAATTGAATGACTTGCAAACGCCAACACATCTTGATTGACTCTGGTAGTTGATATCTGCTCGGCATACGTCCACCTACAATTGGTCCCTTGTCATCTACATGGGCAGGGAAGTTGCGTCACGGAGTACCTTAGGTTTAGGTAGTTTTGAACTTTTGCCTCCTTTAGTCCATGTCGGTTCGTATGATTGGTTGTTCATTAGCGTTTCGTCATAAGCGACCCTCACAGAAGTTTACCCCTGTAGCCCTGTAAAACCGGTTCTTTACCTTGTAGCCAGTCGATTGCTGATTCGTTTACTTATTTGCTAGGAATAAGGCAGTTCTAGTCATAGTCGAGCGTCTTTTGACAGCGATTAGGAGCCATAAAGTAATGTTGGTTTGCTAAGTTTCAAAACGACTTCGTAGTATTGTGTAATCCACCCTATACGGCTCTACGTTATGTAGTTCAAGTATAGGGCACATGAATCATCATCTCTTGAAAACGAATTGTTAGTCCCTTTATGTAAGGCATTATCCGCTCTCTGCGTATATTAGGTACGTTAGATGGGAGGTAGGTTGGTATATTCGGATTATGACATTGCTCCGCGTCGTTCGGCCTCTACGACTGCCTTCGCACCATCCGTAAGGGTATCTTTCTCTACCGTGATCCAGCGTCCCCTCCCAGACCGCTGTGCTCTAATATGTTTCTCTACTGCCGTTGCAGACTCTATCCAATCTGCGAGTCGGAGGATTTGACCTTTGGATGCATCGTCCGAAAGGGCATACCCGGAACAAAGCCTCAGGGTTGTAATCTTCCCCCAATCACCCACCCAGTCGACGAAATTGATAGTAAAATCTCCGTCCGCCTCTTTCCTCAGAGCTGGGAACCAATCCCCACACCCAGTCAAATCGAGGTATTCTAGGCTATACAGCGACTTGCTCAGACGCTTCAGCACCAAGATCGCTTCCGACCAGTCACCGTCTAAATTGTGACTATATGGCCCAGTACCGCCATACTGAACAGTCCGTCCAGTTACTGACGATGCGACTTTCGCAAATTTCGCATTTGGTGTCAAAGATGGCTCTGGCCAGCCAGACAGATCGAGATGCGTAATTGTCTGCAACTTGGTAGCTAGTGAGAGTAATTGCTTCCATGAAGCAGTCGGTGCATTCCCGGGTTCGACAGCAAGAGATAACTGCGTCAAATTTGGTAAGAGCTTAAACGGGCCAGAAACAGGTTCTGGAGCCTCCCAAGATTCCTGAAGGTCAACCTCGACCGGGACTTGGGGGAAGAGCAGCTCGCTTAGCTCTTTCAACGATATTGATCTTCCTGCCGAACCACTTAGATCTAAGTAGAATATGTCTTCATTCAGTTTATTGAGGTCAGGCTGTTCCACCTCGTATTGGGCGAGCTCCTCTTCTGCGGGGCCGGCAAGGATCAGTCGGAGGTCGTTAGCAGATATTCCTGGTCCATAAAGCTCCGAGACGCAACTGATCAAGGCTACCCGTAGTTGACTAGGTAGCGTATATAGATAGAACTGATTCCAATGCCGTTGCTGCTCCCAGTCTAAGGCCATCCGCCGTAGCAACTGATCCACGAAGCTGCCATCTGCGGGGCTGTAGATGCCTGGTAAGGGCCAGTGCTGGATATGCCCTCCGAGGTCTTTTGCTAGGTCTGCGGGGGCATGTCGCGACTGGGCTAGCGACACCCAACTGCGTGGGGGCGGGGGACCAGGGGGTGCCCTTCGGCCATGCGCATGGAGGCGTAGGGACCGTCTGGGCGCTGGGGCGGGTGTCTCGGGAATTTGGAAGATTTGGCGGATGGAAGGCGGAACGGTGGGAGTGGTGGCTACGTTAAAGTTACTCGAAGTGCCATTTTGCTTTAAGCTAGTCCGTCGCAAGTCCGCGAGGATCTGGTTAACGGATCGTTCATGCTGATCTATGCGCTGGCTGTTAGGATGACGCGCACGCTCGGAGTTTGGTAGGACTTTTAAGGAATTCATTTCATTTACCAGAAGTTTGCCTCGACGAGGAGGACAAGGCAAGTGACGGTGGCGCTACTGAAGGCGGTTTCGAGTATTTGTTATTGTGTCTTTTCTTAGGCATAACAGTTGAGGATGGGATAGACCTATCTCGACTGTTTGCGAAAAGAAGAAGTCGCAGAAATGAAGAAAAGTTGTTGGGAATAGAATAGAAGAGAATGTAAATTAGGTAGGTTAGGTACCTAAGGTACCTAGAGCCTTAATAAATAAATCAACCTAATGGCGCAAGACGGGAATTGGAGATGATGCGATTGACTCATTGGAGATTACCTAATGTAATAGCCCTTCCTCCTGACTAATCTCCAGGTACCTTACCCTGGAACTTTTTAACGCCATTATTATTATCTTCGCTTTTTCTCTTCATCTACCTTGAGGAAGGTAAGCAACACTCTTATTAAGCAGGTAGGCTATTGCTATCATACTTCCGTATTCGAGGCTATGAATACCAGGTAGGTACTTGTACCTATTCTGGGCATTTATATAAAAGCAGACTTTAACACTTCACAACGATAGAAAACATGTCATTATTGCTGCATATTCCGACCTCATACTTAAACTTTACATACAACTTCGCCCTACTACCCTCTTATATTTTATTCTATTTATCTACCTCTATCTTACATCCTTTTATTATACACTCATTCCTAGCACTCAATTACACCTCTGGAGGAGTAGTAGTAGCATTATTTTGCTCGGGGTTTGCTTCTTCGTAATGACAGATCTTTACGAACCGATAGTATCCAGCTGCGATTAGAGCCCCCAGGAGAGGACCAACCCAGTATATCCAGTGATACCCCGGGAAACTTGGCGCAGCGACGGCACATCCGAAACTGCGGGCTGGGTTTAGTGAGCCGCCGGTATAAAACACACCTAGGTATCATCTCTCATTAGTTCCGCTATTCGGCTTGATCCGTACTTAGTTCTCGTCTACTTACCGGGGATTTCAGCGACGAAGAGTGCCAATCCAATGCCTAATGGCGCTAGGTACGTGCCTTCAAATTTCTCGGCTGCAAGCATAAGGATCACGAAGACCAGGTATGAGGTGAAGAACATCTCGGCGAAAACACCTTGTGCCAAGTTCACTTCTGGAGCCAATGTTGTGTTCACCGCTGCGATGTCACCCGGGAACATAACTTTTACTACACCACCCGCACACATGCATGCGATCAGCTGTGTCGGGATGAAAAAGGCTGCTCGTGCCCACGGCAGTTGGCCACTGAGACAGAGACCCAAGGTGACCTATTATACGTCAAAGGTTCAGTTACAAGCTCCTAAGCACAGGGGAAAGGGGTTATCATCTTGGATCTCTCTACCTACCGCAGGGTTGAATAACCCACCGCTGATTCTGTAAAAAGTCCAAACGGTAACGAGAAGTGAGAAGCTGTAAGCAAGCGAGATGTAGATGACCTTTGTAGCGCCCGGTGTCGCTGCACCTTGGTCTAACACCATCAGGTGGCCTGCATACCCGAAGAAAAGGAAAAAGAATGTCCCGACAAATTCACCTGTTGCTGCGACGAGGTGTTTCTCCAACGGGCTCAGATGTTGAAAGTGTGATTGTCGCGGCTGGCTTTGTCGCGGCTCGCCATTTACGTGACCATTTCCATAGTCGTCAACTGACCGACGATGCTTTTCGTGGTGAGGAGGCATTTCAACTCTCTATGTGACGACGGTTAATTATTCTCCGGCAGTCTTTGTTCACAGTTGGTTTGGCTACCCATAGTTTCCCATAGTTCTGCGAACTTCTCTGGCTCGGGCTTTATACAACTTGAATCTTGCAAGTTGGCTTTGACGATGAGTTGACGGTATGGTGGAGTATGCATGATGTAACCAGTTTGTCGGAATCGCTGCCGTCTCGTTACTAACTTGTGGTAGCAAAAACAATCTCTCTAGTAAGGTTCCTACTAACACTCGCTAGTTACCAGCTAAAACTTCATGACCTACATAAATAGGCAGATAGCTAGGGGCATAAGAGCTTCAGCTCCATGTCTAGAACATTTGGGAAGTTGAGGTTCCACACTCACTGATGCAACTTACTGAATCAAGCCGAGACTTTGCATTATGATCGAACAGTTAGCATAGCAAGTTTTGGACTGGCAACTACGAATTATTTAATAGTCTTGCTTTTCCCCTTCGTTATATTTCTTGAACTCTTCCTTTTACGTCCAGAGATAACCCCCCCACCCCCTTTGCGCTTATGTCGCATCGTACTCGAATTCCCTTTACTATTTTACCCTGATATCGGTGCGCCATTCCATGTTTCTACGCATAACTCATCCCAGATATTATGAAGCAAGTGAGTCGAATTGGCAGGCGGATGTGCTCTTTATCGCCCTGCTACAACGTTTAGAACTCCACCGTCCACTGCAATGATCTCCCCATTCACATATTGGTTCTTCGCAAGATATAACACCGTCATCCCCATCTCCTCCTCGCGCCCAGCCCTCATCAGCGGAACGTGGCCTTTATCTTGAATCTTCTCAGGTGGCACATAGCTCTTTTGTTTCTCATCGCTGCCCTTAGCAGTCACTATGGCGGACATGTTAGCTCATCTATCGGTCTTATAAGAGAAAGGGGTAGGAACTCACTTTCGCTAGGGAAATAGCCCGGCGCAATAGAGTTGACTCTGATCTGGGTCTTCTGAAACTCCGCGCTCATAAGCTTCGTCAGGTGGACCGCGGCCCCTTTGGTAGTGTTGTAGCTGAAGTGGCCCTGGGCATGCCGCATGATGCCCGACATGGAGGATATCGTAATGACGGAAGGGATGTACGGCTCCAGGGGGCCCTTGGGACGAATGCCCGCCTGCAAGAGCGGAAGGAAGGCCACGGTGGTGAAGTAGACGGCGGTGACGTTGGTGTTGAAGTTGTCCTGCCAGTCTCTCGGGTCCTCATTGTTCCAGAGCCTGGCCTTGAGGTCCTCGGCCTCAGCGTCCTCGGGCTCGGCCTTGGGGCCCGATACCCCCGCATTGCATATTAGCAGGTGGATGTACTTCTCGCGCTTTCCCACGTCCGTGACCAGCTTCTCCAGGTCCGCCTTGCTGGTCACGTCGCACGGGCCGATCGGGATGATCTGCCCGCCCCCTTGCGCCGGCTGGTGCTTCTTCGCCGAGTTCTCGAGCACCTCCTTCCGCCGCCCCGTGATATACACCTTCGCCCCGTTCGCGGACAGCGCTTGCGCGGCCATCAGCCCTATCCCGGTTCCGCCGCCCGTTATTACAGCTACGTAGTCTTTGACTCCGAAGAGCTTATCTACATTGAATTGATGCGTGTCGGCCATGACGAGAGGAGGGCCTTGGTGATGTGGTGTAAGTGTTAATGCACAGGTCACAGGTCACAGGTCTAGAATGGTCCGGGAGATGGATGAGGTGGTAGTTGCCTGATATAAGGTAGGCTAGGTAGGTGCCTATGTTTGAGGCGTAATATGATTTGACTTCAGAAAGATGAATCTAGTAATAATTAAGTTTCTCTCGCCACAGTGAAGACAAAGACAACACTTTTGGAAAAGAGGTTGTGTTCATTACCTCATGGTATATCGCGATGAGTGGTGACGTAACCGTACCTGGCTCCCACGTGTAGCAGGGATTATAGGTATCGATGCATCGATGCACAAGGGTGTATATCCGAGTTTTAAGGACAATCTAAAATTGATCGTCGTAATTCTGCAATATGTTACGACATGATTTGCTGTATTACAGCAATTGGCTATCTTTATTTGCACTTTTGTTCTCAAGTATGTCGGCTTTAGTATATGGCCTCTTGTCTTATTACCTGATATATATACACTTATAACCCCAACCAACCTCTGATTAAGACCCCTTCTATTAACTTGAATAATATCTTTTTAATTGGTAGTAATAATTCCGTTGGTGATGACCGAGACTCACATGAATCATCAGTTTCGTGCAATAATAGAACTTGCTCCCTTAAACCACCAGATAAAGTATATCAAAACAGAAGAGTGTAGAGATAATCAGGATAACACTTTATAATAATCACGATCAAGATGTAGGAACTTCCACTACCTTAGGTACTTATGTTGTGTCTGCACGCGGCTGTTAGATGGGCATTGTGTGTCGGCTCTCTACTATTGTTCTCGCTTATTATCGCTTTTCCAAGTCCTACATAAGTTAAGCCTCACACTGCCGCGTTGGCCCGACACCTAAATATCCGTAACAGCAGATGACCTGCATACATAGGTAGGTACATAAGTGTGAGCTCGCAAGGATTGCTTCCGTCATCCGCGCCCGGTATGGGTCTCTTTTCGGTATGCCGCGAAGGATCGATCGGAAACATGCCGACACCAGGTAGCCATCAACCGCGCGTGAGTATAAGGCGGCTAAGCGCCGCACACAAGCGACGGCGATCGGCTCTCGTCGTCGCGTAGGTAGGTTGTAGGTGCTAAATTGCGCCAGCATGGGTTGTCGCGTGGCATATGTATGGTTGGTCGAAGAAGCGGGATGGTCCTACCTGCAGCCTTGCTTATGGAGTTGATGCGGGAGGTAGCCTTAACTGCACGACTGTGCGTACCAAGCCGGAAGGGTCTAAACGAGCACGGAAGGTAGTGATAAGACAGGTCCCTTTAGTGTCGCCGTCCATTGAGTATCCCAGATGTGCGACCGACTTGGTCAACTTCGCGTTATTCTAGTATGGTAAGATGAACAACACCAGAGAGAACTGAAGTGACGCAGCCTGGTATGAGGAAGTAAGTTAATAAAATGACAGATCCCTTTATTGTTTATCAATATTTTAAACCAAAGTGTTGCTCTCCGTGTCTCTCAAAGTCTTTTCGGAGACTCTAATATTCAGATATCTCTTCCGCATATTACTCCTTTTTATCATAACACACCTTACGTTATTAGTTACTTGATAGTGCCTCCAAGCCGTATCACTTATATCACTATCACATGCGACCATGTCTGCTCTCCAGCCAAATGAACTGAGCCATCGCTTCCTAGTCACGAATATCATTTCTGGCACTTTTATGCTGCTAGCAGCTGTATGTGTCATTATACGTCTCGCTCACCATCAACGGGAAAGGAGAGTCAAATGGGACGACTGGGCCATCTTAGCAGCGTTCATTACGGGTGTCGGGGCATATATCTCTGGGCTCGTATGCGCTGTAAACGGCTACCACGCTGAATCACCCACGATTCCGCAATTAAATACATGCTCAAAGGTAAGCGGACCTTCCACACTACTACCCCTTATCACTCATCCGCCCCACAAACCACAGCTAATTAATGGGAGGTGAGCAGACGGGCCTCGCGGGCGAAGTCCTCTACACCATCAGCGTGGCCTTCGCCAAGATTTCGGTCTTGCTATTCTACAAGCGCATCTTCTACCCCGAGACGGAATTCGTGGTATTCACGCGCGTCATGACCGTCCTCGTCGTCGCGGCCTGCGTCACGTACATGTTCGGCCTCATCTTCACGGACACGCCGGCCGTCGCCCACTGGAACGTTAGCATGTCCCACACGTCGATCAACGCCGTGGCCTTCTACGAGACCGTCGCCGCCGTCAACATCCTCATCGACGTCGTTGTCATAGGGTACACCCAGCTGAACGTGTGGCGCTCGCAAATGAGCGCCAGGAATAAATTCGAGATATCTGGCCTGCTATTTTTTGCCGTATCGTATGTATCAGATTTTCTCTTTTTTCTTCTTTAAAGCTACCTGCTCTTGCATAGCTCGAGAAACTAATCTTTGCGAATCTTTTTAGATCTGTTGTTGTGGGTATATTACGCGTTGTATATACCGGTATTATGGACCATAACGATGCCACATGTAAGCTGCTCTCGACAGACTCCGGCCTTCAATAGCACGATATACGTGTGAAAATGGAACTAACGGTTCCCCTACAGACACTCTAACGCTCGCTTGGTTATTTGCGACGCTAGAGCTATTCCTATATATCATCTGCGGTTGTCTGCCCATCGTCTACAATCTCTTCCGCTCAATATTTCGCGGCCGTTCGAAGAATGACCGAACGGGAACCACTGTGATCTCTTGGCCGGTGACGCTCGTCAGCAACTCGCTTGAAGAAAAGAGAGCCCCATATCATCAATTCGATGAAAGAACATACGTGTACAAGTACATTTCACGCAAGTCTCAGATCGGCGACCTAGAAACACAGAGTATGGAACCTTTGGTTTATCCGGAACGCGCTTTAAGTCGCGAGCTGAACGACCGGGTTTAATCTTGTAGCAGCAGGAAAATGACATGCTGTGATATTAGCGCTGTATAAATGCTTTTAGCCCATTCAAGCCGGCTGCTCATGTTCTGAAAATATCGCTTGACATGGATAGCTTGGGGGAGTAGAGGATATAGAGGCTCGATCTCGCTTTACTAAGGTTATTTTGACATGGGACAGGTTAGCTGAATCTTATATAGCAAAATATACAATGTCGTGATCCAAAAAAAAAAAGAACAAAAAAGTTTATTCCCATTACACTACTTAAATCCTACCCGGACCGCACCACGCCGATACACAACTGCCTACCTAAAGCAGACTCCTGGTAGATTGGAGGTATATATACAAAGGCATTCAAAATTGCAAGGGTATTCGGAATTGCAGGAACTCCCCCAACAAGCTTCACCTCTCTTACAACTTCGCCACCATCTTGGAGCCTTGGTTCAGCATCGCCGTAGCATCCTCGATGAACTCGTCGACAATCGCCTTCGCGCTCTTCTGCTCGTTTACCAACGCGGCGCACTTGCCCATCAGGTAGGGGCGGAACTGGTCCAGCACGTCGTCGGCGTCGTCGTCGTCGCTGCTCTCGCCCTCCTTCCCGGAGCCCTCGGCCGTGCCGCTGGCGACCTTCTCCAGGTCGTACTCGTAGGGGAGGATGCCCTTGGCGGTCAGCTCCTTGATCTCGGCCTGGCGCTCGTTCTCCCAGTTCTCGATGTACGGGTTCTTGCGCACGCGCAGGGGCCGCCCGGTGAAGATGAGGGTGCGGATCGTGTCGTCGAACCCGGCGGTCCGCACCGACTCCTTGTGCGACTCGGGCGCGCCGGCCTCGTCCGCCAGGATGAACCGCGTGCCGACCCACACGGCGCTCGCGCCCATCATGAGCGACGCGGCCAGCATCTGGCCGTTGTGGATGCCGCCCGCGGCGATGACCGGGACCTGCTTGCCGGAGAGCACGCTCTTCTTGCCCTTGCAGATCTGCACGCACGCCGGGATCAGGACGGTGGTGGGGACGTCTCCGGTGTGGCCGCCGCCCTCGCCACCTTGCGCGCAGATGATGTCGCAGCCGATGTCGAGCGCCTTCTGGACGTGCTTGGGGTGTCCGACCATGTTCATGTAGTAGATGCCGTGCTTGTGTAGCTTGTCGACGACGGCCTTGGGTGGTACACCGACGGCGGAGACGAAGAGCTTGGCTCCCGATTCGATAACAACGTCGACTAATTGGTCGAGCTTGCCTTTCGTGTAATCGTAGCTACATTCCAACTCTGTTAGCTACCTAGGTATATATGCTCTACTCGCTCAACTACTGCTTACTTTGTTTTGCGAGCATTGCCGCCAACCTGTGGGATTAATAGATCAATACCGAACGGGGCGTTCTTGTCGTTTAGATACGACTTCAACTCGTCGATTTGCTCCTTCAGCATGTCCGGGCTGTAGGACATGCCTCCGATGACGCCGAGACCGCCGGCATTCGTAACAGCAGCTGCGAGCTTAGGGCCGGCGGCGACGTTCATTCCAGCGAGAAGAATAGGGTGGTTGATCCCGAATAGATCGGTGACGGGAGTTCGGATCCTCTCTGTAGGGCAGCATTTTGTTAGTGTGTGTTGTCTTCATGAGTTTGGTAAGCAAGCATTGCCTTGATGGGTTGTAACGTACGTGGAGATGCCATGTTGACTTGTATTTAGACTTGTATTTAAAACGCCGAGGTATGAAGCAAAAACTGTAAGAAACGATAAGATGGCGAAGTTGGTTCCTTTAACCTTTAGCTAGTGTCTATATTTCTATATCAAGAAAATCCGGGGTAGATTAAATAGCTATAAAAATCAAGAAAGAAAATGCCAGGTGACAGAAACACGAATGCTAAAGAGGGAAAGTGATTCGGGGTCGGGAATGTACGCGGCAATGTGAATACCTAACATAGTATGTAGTAGTATACGATTCACCCTCTAAGAATAAAGGGTGGGGCAGCCGAGGCAATGCTAAATGAGAGCGCTCTAGTCCAATTCTGGACCTAGCCGAACCGAGGTTCTTCTTATTTTCTTCTCAGCGTGATCACCCATCATTGGTACAATACCTTAAGGTAGGTACGTAACAGGTAGGTCTCGTGCGGAAGCCTTGCACCTACCTAAAACTTATGTTGGTGACAGAGTTACCTAGCCCGATTATAAATAATATTATGTCACTTCGTTTATAAACACTCAAGCAGCCGACAAATCTTAATTAGATCTGATCTCAGTTTTAGAGTTGTAGCACGGCATAAGGTTTGCTCGGGTACATGCCTCCAGGTACAAGGTACTTAGGTACATACCTAAATTCAAGTATTGTTAGGTAGGTATGTAAGCAGATTGGACCCTTACAACAGATAAGATAAGAACATAGTATGAATAAGCAAGGTCCCCTGTAAAGGCTTAAAGGGTCCTGAATCTTTGGTGGAGTTTGGAATTTTTCCGGTCTTCTTCCTCGATTCAGATGTACATAATAGTTCAAAAACGCTGCTTATGATGCCCCCAATTATCCAATGAGGCAATTAGCATGCGGGTCAATGCCTCATTCTAAGTTCCAATGAGTCCTCTCTCATCAGCATGGAGCTTTACATTTGGTTGTGCTCGCGTGCTGCCATCTCATGCCAATCTACTACATTTTCCCCTAAGCAGCTCACTTCGCTCTTCTTTTCTTCATTCCCAAACTAGGATTATCCCTAAAGGAAAAACAATGGATCGACAATTCTCATCCAGCCCCTCCCGTAAAGCATGCGGTTGCGCAGAACGACGTCGTGGTAAGCGGAATGCCTACATTGCTCTGGGCAGCAATGTTGGTGACCGGGTAGCCATGATCGAGCAGGCGTGTAAAGAAATGGATTCAAGAAACATCAAAGTGAAAAGGACTAGTAGCTTATGGGAGACCGAACCTATGTACGTTCTAGACCAGAATAGGTTTGTAAATGGAGCTTGCGAAGTATGTCTCAGCGTCAATCAACTCAGCGTCAACTCCTCGTGAGGAAACGAAACCTAAGCTGAAAAATCTTGTCTAGGTTGAGACCGATCTAGAGCCCCTATCTCTGTTAGACCAATTGCAAGATATTGAGAAGTCTATGGGCCGCCAGAAACTTATAGATAAGGGACCTCGGAATATTGACTTGGATATCTTACTCTATGAGGATGAAACAGTCGATCATGAAAGACTGAAAATTCCTCATATTGGAATTCCAGAGCGCGAGTTCGTTCTACGGCCCCTGGCTGAACTTATTCCGCACAAGTCTATATACTCCTCCAATCCCTGGAAACTTGTCCAAGACTACCTCAATGAGCTGCCTCCATCTTCAGAACCCTTGTCTACCTTAACCCCGATACGCCCCTCAATAGAACCCTTGAACGCTCTCAAGCCGACTCGGAAAACACAAATTATGGCCATTCTCAACATAACGCCCGATTCATTTTCGGATGGCGGCATCCATACCCCTGATTCGCTCCGGGACACAATCATGGCCTATGTACGGGGCGGCGCCACAATATTCGATATTGGGGGCCAGTCCACTGCACCTGGGACGCTTGAGGTCAGTGCTCAAGAGGAGGCTGATCGTGTTTTACCCGTTATCAAGCTTATCCGTAGCCTACCCGAGACACGCGATGTCGCTATAAGTGTAGATACGTACCGCGCATCGGTTGCTCAAGCAGCTGTCGAGGCCGGCGCAGATATCATTAACGACGTATCAGCAGGTCTTTTAGACCCGGATATGTTGTCTACAATGGCCCGCTCGGGCAAAACGGTTTGCTTGATGCATATGAGAGGAAACCCTGGTACGATGAGCAAACTGAACGACTACCCAGATGGGCTTATCCCGACTATCGCTCGGGAATTGCTCGAGCGGGTAGCCGCCGCCGAAGCAGCAGGCATCCGCCGGTGGCGCATTATTCTTGACCCAGGACTAGGATTCGCTAAGGTGGGAGAGCAGAACCTACACCTCCTACGTCATTTCGAAGAATTACGAAGCTGGCCTGGATTAGAAGGCCTACCCTGGCTTGTAGGGTCCAGCCGCAAGAGCTTCATTGGTAAGGTAACCGGCGTCCCAAAGCCAATGGACCGAGTATTCGGTACGGCAGCAACCGTCGCCTCGGCCGTTCAGGGCGGCGCTGATATAGTACGAGTCCACGATGTTGTGGAAATGGGTCAGGTAGTTAAGATGGCCGATGCCATATGGAGATACTAGGTCACAATTCAGTTCACGATTTAACTTCACAAGTACGCGATGTTACAAGCCAGGGACGATTACGGTAAATCATCGATCCATTAATTCTTAGCTCATGCTTCATGATTCATACCACATGTCCCAGCCCCCCCTCTTTTTTTTCCCCTTTTCGTATGTTTTGGCCGTCTCCAAGCCCCCTTTCAGATGTACTCAGGCTTTCCATTCGTGAGCCCCTATTCATGCGAAAACAGCGCAACTCCTAACCGAGGGTCTGTGCTTGACAGACCAAAAACAACTTCCTGTAGTTTAACGCCGGTAACTCAACGCGCACGATACCCATGTCCGGACTGTTCTGCAAACCCGTTATCACAGCTGGGCTTTTTCAATCAGTCTTCTCCTTGTCCTTTCCTTTTTCCTCAGCTTTCGGTTGTTCTTCGGCCTCAGCCGTCCACTTCGCCATCAGGGCTACCGCCTTTCGGCGCTTGGTGGCTTGAGATTCGGTATCAAGCTGGAGTCCGAGTTCGTGCGATATCAAGCCAAATTGCACTTGTTCATGTCTCTCACAGCATCCATTCACCAGTCGACGGACTGTCTCATACCATTCATCGCCGTGGATGCACGAGTTGATGATATCGTCTTCCATCGCTAGAATTGTCTCGGTAGCCTTGGCCGTATTGTGCTCGCCCACGATGAAATTGCGCACTCTGTGTCGGATCTCCGGCTTGTCTCTGTTGTAGGCGTCGGTAACCTTCTTGAGAGCCGCCGCATAGAGCTCATCGTCGCGTTCCTTGACACAAGTAGAGGTTTTAGGCGGCTGAGTCGTATTGGGGATTCGGTACAGTGTCGGCTCGGGTCTTACAGGTAGACGGAATATCTGTTGCTTCGACTTTTCCTGGCTAGGGGCTGCACGTTCTGCCGCGGTAGACGGAACGGGAAAGTTGGTAGACGATGACGGGCCCAGACCGCCGGGGGGAGGGAAATGGTTCTTTCGAGCCTTCATGCGAGGGCTGTTGAAGTAGTAACATGGCGGGATGTTCATCTTGCCTCCCTCGAGAACTGGTATGTCTGGATAGGATGTTTCAGTGAGGGGTCTTGCAGCATTGTTGGATTGTCCAGCAATAGAGGACGTGGTGAGCTGACGGGAGCTGCTGCCATTGCCAGCAATAGAGATGCCTTTTCTCATAAATGCCCTTTCCGCCTCAAGATTCAGGATTCTCTCATCGTATTGCCAAATCTGTCATAGTTAGCAAGTATGTTCTGGATTCATGGTTTGGCGGTATCATGTTCGCTAGGGGCGGAGCTGGGGTGATTATTTCAAACGAAAACGGACTTACCTTCTGACGAAGGATGCGGACAAGTGCCTTCGCCTCTTGGTTATGCTCATTGACCTCTTCAACTAGACCACGGACACTTTCCTCTTTAGCCTTCTTGACTGACTTGATGCTGCCGCGTTTATCATCAACCGGCTTCTCAACATCGGCAGACTCCTCCTTATCAACAGACTTCTCATCTTCTTCATCCTTCACGGCCGTGTCTTTGGGCTCTTCAACTTCTTGAATAGGTCTTCCGCGAATCAAATTGCGCTCGCGCTTGAAGTCGACCATGAACGCCTTCTCGGGCACGATGATCTTCCAGAACTTCTCGAGCTTCAAGTTTTCGCGCTCGATGTAAGCCGCCACGGGGTCGTCGTCAGGGTACTTGGGCAACGGCTTATTGAGGTTGCTCATGGTAGCCGACGGGCGGAGGCCAGGGGGAGCTTGAACGATCACATCGCTGGTGTCGCCAAGGTCGCCGAGGTCGCGGATGTTGTACGCCGAAGTGCTGGTTATAAGTCGGTGCTGTACCGGGAGACCAGAGTCAACCGGTGCGGCGGTCCCAGCGGGAACGTCATCGATAGGAATGCTTTCAAGAGACTCTGTAAAGAATTGCGACTCTTTCACCACAGGCCTGCTGCGACCACGTGATTCTTGGTTGAAATCTCGAAAGGTTACCTCCTTGCGAGTAGAGGCCAGCTCCTGGTTACGTCCTTGATGGATTGTCCCCTCGCGGGTAGGATCCGGCATATTGATAACATCATTGCTAGTTAGGGCAATACCCACTTGGGGCATCTGCTCCTCGGAGACATATTGCTCAGGTTGTGAGTTTTCTTCTCCTTTATTACCGGAGAGTGTTGCCATGCGAATGTGTACATTACGGATCTCAACATCCGACGGGACGCGTGACTTGGGGCGGTTGCCACCACAGGTGGACATACAATTACCCATCGCGTATGCAAGGAACGCCTCCTGAGGCGACAGTCAAAAGAATGGAAATGGGGTATGAATTGAAGGGTTCAGCAGAAGCGTGATGCACTTCCGCAAATCGAGTCACCGGGGAAGGAAATTTAAAAAAGAGTGTGTACTGCTCCTCGCCTGGAGAGCTGGAGTGTAATGATGGGAAGGCAAAAGGCGAGGGTAGAGTAGGGGAAAAGAATGGGATTGTGTGGCCTCGAGGTGTGGGAAGGAAAAAAAGGAAAGTGTTCGCATCAGGCTGCGAATTTTTACAATACCCAGTAGGGCTGCGAACTTTTTTTTCAAGTGAATGTGTTCTCGGCATACGAACTGCGGCTTGTGAGCGGCTTGTGGGCAAGCCGTCCACGGCAGCGAGGTTCGTATCAAGTTCGACGCCCGTGGCCGGTATGGCAGACTCCAGGGCGGAGGGGCCGTGCTGCCCCGGGGGTATATTCGGACATGGCGTTGGCTTATGTCGTCGGAACTAGCCCGGGCACGGCCGGCTTGGGTTGGTAGTCCCAATCTGTGTCGACGACATGGAAGTACATGACCTTCTTCCTATTCACTTGCTCACAGTATGAATAATGCTACTGACTATTGTCATCTGATCTAGCTCTATGGATCTGTTATCCAAGAGACAGTGTAAGGGAACCCCATACCATCCACTCCTTATTGATACTCTCGAGCATCTAGGAAGACAGCATGTCGACTATAGAAGTTAAGAACTTGTGAGGCTTCAGGGGTTACACAAAGGGGTTGCAAAAAGGGGTTGCAACTTCAATTACCCAGTCCCTCAAAAATCATTATCAATCTTGTTATTAAGTTATAACAATAACATATAAAAGATTATTTAAGTTATATACAAGGATACGTATCGTCTTGCTGGCCGTTATATCTTCGTCTTACCAGATGGTCGGCTGTGATGCCTTGATTCTGGAAGGGAGCAGAAAAGGGATCCACCTGGATATTGTCTTGGAGCGAATATGAAAGCTCAAGTTCGCTCTACTATACGAGAGGTAAGCAGCAAGCGTTTCTTTTATAGGCTGAGATATTATCACTGCTAGATATAGTACCTCAGATGTCCTATACTCCCTAGGGACACGCTAGGTTATCCAGTGTAAAGGATGGGTTTTTTTATCAGACATTGGCTATTTCGTCATTCTATGGTCAGGAAAGAGCACACTTCTTTGATCCGGTCGATAACTCTGTATCGATCCGCTATAGAACACATATCCTGGACATAAAATACATTACGCTACTTAGAAGCTTACGGTGAAAAGTCATCACTACCTGATTACTTTCGCCCTTCATGTTTAACTACGTCGACCGTACATAATGGATCAGAAATAGAGGATATGAGTGAGAAGTGAGGACATAACTCTAATCAGGGGCAAGGACTAATAGCCCTGCCTGTGATAATTCAGCCAGGGCTTTTGATAGAGTGGTAAGGTCTTTGTCGTAGATAGCTTATGAATATGGGATCTTACCAGACCGCCTTTAGCATTTCTGTTTTAAGTAGCCTGGTTCATTACTATCTACAAGAACCTCCCATCTAGAAACACGTTAGAAGTATTCAATACAAAGAAATCTGGTGAGAGAAACTGTTGAGATGATTTTTACGTTCGTTTATGTCTACAGATGCGTGTATCTACAAAAGTAGCTAAGGTAAACTATGTGAATAAATGGCACCGCGGTACGTCTAAAGAACATCTTTTAAGATTAATAGAGCTAGAGAGGTCTTTGACGTCTGGATCTCTCTAGCTCTTATTTATGGCATAACTCTACCTAGTCGGCAATGGCTCTACATACTTGACGCTCTCCAGGGGAAACCTCTTGAGCGCATTTTCTCATAATAAGTTAGGGCCATCATCGTCGCCCAGGAGTACCCGATGGAAAACCTAAAATTTCTATTGTTTTGTTGGCTATGGTGGGATTCCGAATGCACTTGTGTTGGAGGTACTCTTATAAACACAGTAGTGATGAGGTAACACACACTCTAGGTAGAGACAACAACTATATAGAAACCAAAATTGTACCTACAAAGAAGTGCTAAGCAGATGATCAAGTCCATACTAGTTCAATTCCACAGGCTTTCAAAACTCGTATTGCTAACTTAAGCTATGTCTGCAATAACTTATTGATGCTCATTTACAATACCATATCAAATAAATTTCAACCCTACAACTACCGAGCCTTGATGGCACACAAGAAAAAAAATTCAATACCATGTCCCATGGCGCTGGGACTCAGCTCAGAGACACAGATACCGGCTGTTGCGGTGATACAATGCCTACCTCTTACTGAGCCAAACGAGCTCGGGAGCACCCTCGCGGCGGCTAATGCCGTGCTACTCTCCCCCTTTTCCCTTTCATCTTCCCCATACATACCAGGTACCTACCAAGGTGCCTAACCTTACCTTACCTTACATATTTTACCTAATGCTTACCTCTCCGCCTACGCCAGTTCCTTCTTACACCTACCTGAAGGCTGACACAAAGTCTAGACCCAGCAAGCGAGTCACACAGTGGGTATTCTCCGGGCTTCGATGGCAGAAGGAATATGATCGACAACCTAGAATTATCATCCAGTTTCTAAACCTTACCAATCCCTCCTGGAGCATATAGCCCCCCCCCCCCCACATATCAATTTATTAGTCAGTTAGTCAGTCAGTTGAATTCGGTCTTTTGTCTCACATGCATTACCTACCTACAGGAAACACACAACTGGCAGACACACCTAACATAGCCTTGGTCCTGGATCCTCACGCTAGCGCTGTGCGACCATGGGGGCCGTCGTGTATGTATGTATGTGTGTGTGTATGTGTGCCTATGTTTTCTTTTTCTCGGGAGTGGCTTTGGGGCTTGGCCGCAGCCAAAGTAATAAGAGTATTAGCCTACGCCTACGCGTAACGGGGGCGCGGGGATAGAGGGGGAGAGGGGGTATAATAGCTGCTAGGTAGATAGCGAACGTGTAAATATAGGCACCTACCTACCTCATATACGTGTACGTAGGAGGTATGTATAGATATACCCTAGTTACATGCATATCTAGAACTAAACTTTAGGTACGTATACCTATCCCATCCCATCCCATTCTCAATCCCGTCTTTTTGCTCTCTCTCTCTCTATGTCTCTCCCTTGGGGGCGGTTCCGCCCGATGTTGGTTGGTTAACTTTCAACTAATTAACTTCTACCCTGATTACCTAGGTAGGTACCTACCTACACCTTACCTCCTTTTCACCTCTTCACCCCCTGCGGCATTACCCGTGGAAAGCCAATGCCTACCTCTAACTTCTCTCTCCCCGGTCCAAACCTGAACACCAGAAACAGAACATACTACCTAGAGGTACCTTAGATTAGGTATGCACCTAAAGTAGACATGTGCAAAATCCGCGGGATCTGCTAACGTGTTTTATTTACTATCTATCATACCAAGTTTCTTACTTCGCGATTCTATTTTTAGCTACCTATAGTTACCTGTTAACAAGTTGGCATCTAAGTAAACGTCTGCCTCTTTCTTGTCTCACACACACTCTCCTCCACATTTGCCCTACGGTGCCTCCGCACTCACTTGTGTAAAGGGTATACACGGCATACGTTAGCTACCTAGCTTTGTTTCGGTGATTAATTACTCTATAGCCTGACGGCCCTTACGTCCTGTCCAGCCTTATCTTAGGTGGGATATAGGACGAGTCCTGATATACCTTGAGAACCTAAGGTTACGTAGGTACCCCGAGGTAGGCAAAATCCCGGTTTACCGCATTTTTACATAACACCCCTGCTCCAACATATGTTCGCTCTTCGCCGCGCAGCAGCCGTAACGTCTAGGATATCTCGTAAACTACCTACATAGTATAGCCTTTTTAAGTATCCCATATCCATAGCATACTAGGTGTACTTCTGTGTATATTGCCTTATGTACCCAGAGGTTCCTTGCTATTGGATCCGCCACGACATTTAGCAGCAGTAGCAGTAGTAGGGAAATCCCAGTTATATCGCAAAGCCCGTTACGCTTGGGGGGAAAGGGGATAGGTAGTACACTAGATCAATAACACAGATTGCCCCACCAAGGGATCGTAGACGGTATTTGAACCTAAGGTCTAGAATAACGTCTTATCACGAACCAACATCCTGAAGGCATAATTTGCCCGTTCGTGTTCGTCGAATCTCCTGACGAGTCATGTAAAACCCACCTAGTTACCTGTCCTATAACCTTTTTCACTTCTCGGCATATATAACTCGTTGGAATATATCACGAGGAACCGCTACAACCAGCGCAGGAGAAATGTTGGTACGCCATCATATCATCGATTATTTCACATGCCGCCGCAAGGTAGTAATCGCGTCAGATTCTAACGTCGTGAATGATACCTAAGTTGGGGACTTTGCCCTGTCACGTACCAAACTTACAAATTGCTTACAGTAAGGGGGAAATGATGTATGTAAAGGGTTGGTAAGTGACCGTATTATGTCCAGATGAGGTAAGTTCAAGAAAATTAAAAAGGATTCTCTATATTCGGAGAGTAATAGATTTTTATTTTTCAAACCCCTCCCAAAAAAAGAAAAAGAAACAACTCATAGTTCAACGTAGGTATAAGTTGCGACAACGAAGTAAAAGACTCAAAAACGACCTAAAAGGAAGTTCGAATGGCACATTGCTTTTCGTCGCACGTAAGCCTGTATTACAGCATCGAATCGTCAGTGATCTGCTTCTGGGTAATCCTGCAAGCTAGGGAAAAAGTTCCCCTTGGACGGAAAACCCTGTTTTTTGTCATACCTCGCGCTTACTCGACTTGACCTTAGCTCCTTGTTGCTAGGACCAACAACAATAGAGAAGAGTCTAGAGTTACACGGGCGTTTATGTTGGTTACACTGCTAATTAGAAAGTAGCCCTGTATCCTGTAATCTTTCAAAAATTGTAACCATGCGAAGAGCTGTAATTGGGCGCAAAGTTTACCTGCTAGCCGAACATTTAAACAGTCGGCGGCGGTGTAGATAACAAACAACCGCATACCGCATGTCTCTTAACTAGCATCTTAACCACCTAACTCCTTAGAAAAGTGGCAAGTCTTTGCTTGCTGACGGCAGTTATGGCGGATCCTCCAAGGCACTGTATTAGATTGGGTGCTTTGGTTTGGTTGGTAATTGCTGTTCCCTACAGATCGGCATTTGGCTTGCTGATAGGCTTGAGGGAAGCTTCCCTAGCGGACCTGTTCTGTCCAATGGTACAATGTCACACCAAAGGAATGCGGTCTTATTGGGCCTGGGGTGCCAAATAACGCACCCCTGGCACATAAGTCGTCGAAGAACGGGCAAACGTACCACAAATATGCGCACCCGTGTCGCAAGAAGCGCGGCGCAGTGGTTTCGTAGTACTCGCAAAACGTTGCACAAAAAGGACGCAAAGACATAACACATACATACCCTTCTACTACGTATGTATGCCGTCCCCAATTCCTGTCTCAACACGGCACGGTTTTCGTGCAACAGTTATTTGCATTCGGTAGCGTCCCCCTCCCCACGGTTGCTCAAAGCCGTAAGAATGAGCTGTCACTTTCATCGTTTTAGACGCAAACACAGTGCAAAAGTTTTGTACCACGCCTAGGGCATATGCCGCCTAGGCCCCGGGGGAGCCAAGTCGACCTGTCATCTCCCATGCAATTCTCTGCACGCTCGTTGTCGAGTTGGACGAAGTATCACCAAGCATCGTCCGTCTGACTCAGCCACACCCAAGCGGGATCAAGCCGCGACATCGTGCTGTAGAATCCTCTCGACGTAAAGTAGCACAAAGTACCGCGTAGGGCTGAAAGGTAGACAACGGAAGTAGTGTAACAGAAGCGCTGTGAAATGCACGTCAGACACATCTCGCGGATGTATGTACGTACATACTGCAGAGTGTGGTTGGGGGAGCACTCGGGAAGATCATGATTGCTCGACCACGCCCCTATCTGCTATTAGTTGTAGACGTACCATAGTATTGTAGTTTACTAGAGTGACATCACAACCAGACCGGAGTCCTGAAAAGGATTACATAGTACGTACAATACAGTCCCCGCCTGCATGTACCTGTTATGGGCTGTATGGTAGCATCGCGTGGCTTGCTGAGAGAATCTGTTTGCGAATGGCAAGATGATCCGAACTGACCATTGACACGCCCGCTGCGCGCACGGTCTCATTGACTGCATCTATGCGGCCATAGGTCCGCGGGGGAGAGTTCAGCCCCCAAGATACAAGCTGACCGACTTACCCATGTTCATCTATGATTGCCTGGACCAACCTAGGCTTGGCGGATTAGGCAGGGGATGCTTAGAAGGGATGCTGCGATACTCGTCTGCCATGTCAGAGCGGTGAGAACTTAATTAAACAGGTATGTTTGTTGTTTTGAGGGTAGCGCGTACGTCCTATTGGGGACGTTAATTCGAGTTGAAGCTGGTACTATAGCAGGCTTACTACTAGAAGAAACACGGCCATCGAGCGTCAAAAGGATTAGATGGTACGGTGGGAAGGATTTGATCTCGGCACTTACCGAAACTCGGCAGGGCAAATATTAACGATAGAGGTCCCCCGGCCTTGTCAGAGTCGGTGGCAATAATAACATTAAATAGGAGTTTAAGAAACAGGAAATGAAGGGGCACGCAGGGGAGGGGATAAGAGAAACTATTAGCTAGCCTGAGGGAATTGGATGCGCTAAGCGGCGTCAGATATAACAGTAAGCCTTCCGGTGAGAACACGGAGGCATTCAATACCAAGCCCGGATATGCAGTATTGGCAGCCATGTCCATGCGTTTGCGGGATGTTACATTTGCCCTCCCGTTTTAAATGGTTAATGTAATATTCCTAGACCAACTATGAAAGTTGCTAGGCCAGATCTTGCGAGTCGAATAAGAAAGAAACTCAAAAGGGGCTGGAAAAGGGGCTGGGTGTATAATGTAGTATAAGAAAATTATACTTGTTACTTAATACAAAGATTCATAGTAGTTGTTTGGGCGTGGTCGAGTTTTCTTTTCTTTTTCTCTTTTTTTTAACTTGTCAAACTTCAAGGACGATGGATGCCAAGGGGTGTAAAAGAAGCGAGAAAAAAGAACAAGGACAACTCGGCCCCCAACGCAACCAGTATCGGTCAATAACTGGTCGACAACGTGCGCCAGGGGTGTCATAACTATCCCATGATTCCCATCAGGTCGCGGCGGGTCTGCCACTCGTGCATATAGGTCTGTTCCGGATCCGCGACGGCGGGTCCAGCTAAAAGATTTTCTCGACTCGAAATAATAGCGACTGCGACTATAAGTGACAGGGAATCGGGAGATCCTTTTTTTTTTCTCTGTCGACATAGGACTGGAAAAAGACTAGACTAGGCGATTGGGAAGTACAAAATCAATCCAAGACACGAGAAAAACTCCTCGTCCGGTCTCCCCGACCACTCTCCACGATGATCCGTGAGAACTCCACAAAAGCTTATTTGGACCGCGTACCAATTAGCGCATGTACGTGTCCGCAGGTACAAATGGAAGCGTTTTATTTTTTTTATCTTTTTTTATTTATTTTTTTATTTTTTTTGGATGGTATCGCAAAGGTACCCTTACATAGGTGGTGGAAGGTTGAATGTGCCGGGGTAGGATGGAAGGGGGGAGGAGATGAAGGCGTACATAGGAGAGAACCTCGGGCCGCATCTTACTTGCATACCTAAGGGAGGAGGTAGGTATACATACCTAGATACCTACCGTACACTTACGTAGGTAGGAGGTAAATATGAAAAGAGGTATATACTTTGCTTATCTTATACCTGTTATTTTCTTTGGTCGTAATATATCCGCTCATACGTACCGAAACTTTTTTTTTGAGGGAAGCCAAGTAATGTGATTTTTCTGTTGAATAGGTAGGTACCTATTAACAGTACCTAGAGTGGCTAGAACCCCGTGGAGCTAGCTGACCGGTATCTTCAACTACCCACGACTGGTACGGCCCATCCGGAGTGTTGAATTTACAATCCTAGGTTCACCGGTGAATGAAACATTAGCGGGACGAGCGGTTGCAATGCGCTTCGTTGAAATAGGAAACAGCTTGGAAAAATATGACCTAGGCGGCAAGTAAATAAAAGCCAAGCCATTTACTATATGCGAGCAACGCGTTGTTTGTTGGGAGAAAAGGCAATTGGACGCGACAACTTGGCCGTGTCCCGGGAGGCACCCTAAGTTGGGTACTTGCAATAGCGGGGAAGGGAGAAGAGTAGGTAAATATTATTAAAGAAAGAAATACGCCCTTCGGCCCCGAAATGAGTTTTATATTATAAACATTATAAGAGGTAAGCAGCAGCTATCCATATTGCATAGCAATGGAGCAAAGAAGCTGCGATATCCCATTATGTAATTCTTCTTCTTATTATTTTTGCATAGTAACTGCCTAACGAGAATTCGGTTCCTTTTTAGGTAGGAGGTACTCATATGTACCTGAGGCTAGGTGAGGTAAAGTACCTTTAAAAACATTCATTTGTAGAACTGTAGAACTATTCCGTTTCTAACTTTTTAACAAGAAATTATAATGCAAACTTCCGTAATTTACCGTATTCTAGAGTACAGTTTAACCTTGCTTCTTGCTTTCTTATTTTTTATACCCGATTAAAATTAACCCTTGGAACAACATCGTTAGGATAAGCTACTGGAGCCTAGAGTTTTGCTAAGCTTTAAGCATTAAAAATTTAGTGTACCTAGTGCGTAACTACATAGTACCGTATGTACCTAATGTATGGATTAGATTTACGTCCAAAATCGGTACACACTTACGAGTCGTTGGAACCTCGAATGTGGGGTGGCCCATCTACTACCTAGGTAAGTTCCACTGTTTGGATACCTAGATCATGGCACTGATACCAAGGATCTCTTTAATCGTATGCCGCCCGATATATACTAGGACCCTAGTTACCTACCTAGGGTAGGTAGGTACATATTTATACATATTTACGTAAGGTCCACGTACTTAATGTACCTATAATTATACCCTAGCTCTAAAGACTCCATGATGTAAGCCTTTCTCCCATACGCTCGTTATATCTCCATACATGTAGGCAAAGAGGATCCCCCTGTCCAGTTGCCTTATATATCCACCCACTTCCACTTTGCACCGCCTGAACCCTAGCTTGAAAAAAAAAAAGAAAAAAAAAAAGCTACACTTGGCCCTACGTCTCTTCTAGACCCTACTAAGCCTACCCAAGCCTACCTCGCTCCTATCAGGGTGCCGTGCCTCTAGTGCAACCTAGCTCCCGTTGTGGGGCATTTGAGGCTTTGCGAAGTCCAATTTGAACGTCCTCCCAACCTGATTCATCAAGATGAGTAATGAATAATGAAACCTACCAGCCCTCTCGAAAAGCAAATCCTCTTATACTATCGCACACCTCTCACACCTCACCCTGCCAAGCCTCTCTTCGTCCTTATCCCCTTCGTGTAGGGGTATTCATTGGTACGGTTACTCGCCCCGCGTCCGCTCCCGCTTTTCCTATTAAGTTTGCACCTACCCATCTAAGCCGAACAAGTTCCTTTTTCTCGAGTCTAGCACACCATCCCCTCTAATTGGCTCTTGCTTATTAGTGGAGTTTATGCGTGAATAAGACATCCTTACTTCGATGCGTACCTTAGCTACCTAGGTAGGTAGGCATGCACTGATCCATTCCCGTGACCAAGAGAGGAGAAGAGTAATAGAAAGAATGCTATGTTTTATCTTTCGACCAACAAAGGTACAGGAAAGCAATTCTGAGCGCGTAAGCACCACTAGCAGGGAAATAGAAAAGCCCTTTCTATATCCATTTTGCGCCACAGGCTGGGATCCTATTCCTCGGTCCGCCCTAGGCCTAGTCGTCTCACGACTTGCAAACACACATTCCGCCTAACACTCCTCCCAACCACATCGAGACAGGAGAAGGCCAGTTGCATCAAGTTAGTCTCACCAGGAGGACTCGACTAACAGGCCTCAGCAATTGCCGAGCCGGGGAAGGTAAAACGCAGGCACCCGTATAAATCCGTCTTTCCCAACGCCGCCCATGAATAATTTTTTGGGGGTTTTGCTGTTTTTTGCGTAGTCTTCGTCAAATTTTCAGTAGATGAATGAAAGTCGCCTATCCTTCGTTTCTCGAACCGTCTCGAATAAAACACCATAAAGCATCGCACCGGGGTATCCTTTCCGTTATCCCACCAGATAAAGCCCATGTTTTGTAGTATATCCCGGCCGCACTGCCAGGGCTATAGCTCATTCTTCGTGTATTCCCACATACGCTCGAAAGCCCCTTGAAAACCCCTATGCTTTCTCAGATTCTTTCACTCTACCATATCCCATTGTGCGCCGCAGATCCCGCCTCTAGTTACAGAGACTCGGGAAACCCAAAATCCAGAAAACAGATATGCTTTTCATCTCCGATTGTCATGCTAGACGCAGTAGAACGAAACGCAGATGGTGAGAATACGCGAAAAGAAATATACTGTGTGGACCGGCCAGAATGTGACCAAGTACAATTCTCTAATCTGAACAATCTTCTTATCACCCAGATTGGGGAAGCATTGTTGGCATGGTCGGATAATAGCCCGTCGACGTCGACTTCCCTTCGAATCGGCTACAGCCCCGGTAGTAAGAATTTCCAGGGTTGTACAGAATACTCGGAAGGGGGCCTTCGTATTCGTGCTTGACTTTGGAACCGCTTGAATCCCCCGCCGGTGGGGCTGAAGTCATTACGTTTTCTGGATCGCTTCGGTGAGAAAACATCTCCACGCCTTGTCTTGAATCGGCATTTTCGTAGATAGGCGCGGGATAGTATTGGTATTCTCTCGTATTATCAATGGCTTTAGCCTCTTCGGTTGGTATAATCGGCTCCGCTGGTAGCTCATGGTGGCGAGTAGCCCCAAAATGTGCCGATCGCGGATCGTACCCTCCGCCGCCGGCGTACGAGCCTGAGAGCAATGAGGGGCCACCGGAGCCGCCGTATTCTGGCCCTAGTACCTGGGATCCGGAAAAGCCGCCCATCCCGCTTGATCCACCGGGCCCGCTACTAGTGCTTCCCCGCCTTTCTGTCTGGTAATGTCCGGGGGAGCGACCTCGTACGATCATTTTAGCCGACTTTCGAGATGCTATCTTCATGAACGGGTCCTGGCCTTGAGTTCCCACATCTGCATACAGCTCAACAACCAGATGATAGTATTGCTGAGCTGCTCTTCGCTTCCCATTATTTGCCGTCGCCTGCTTGAATTGGATTCGTTCGAATGTATGCTCGCTAGGATACGACCCCTGGGTACTCTGCCCGTAACCGCTTTCATACAGAGGTCTCGAACCTCCAGGCATCCCATGATGATCTTGGTACAATAGAGGATGGGGCGTTTGCTGCGGTTGTTTCGGTGTAAGTCTTACTTTCTCGGGTTTCTGCACCGGTCCTTTGTCTCTCTTTGGCGTATGCTGCACCAAGTCAATCGTATGCGAGTCGCTGTCGGAGACTACAGCAGAAATGCACATTGCAAACCCGAAAACTTGGTATGATGAGGACGATCCGCTGGGAATATACTGCATCGTCGTGTTAGGTGAGTACGGCGATAAGCTGTACGAGCAGATGCAAGAGAAATAGTTCCTCCTGTAGCATGTCCAGTCCCCATCCGACATGAAAAAACCCTTGTCGATGGTCCCATGGATGTCAATTTTTATAGGCGTGCCGGATTCACCGTACATCAGTTGGCCATTCGTGCTCATTGCCAGGAGCGGAGGGATATGCGACCCCCCGGATTTCCCATACTGACTAGTGTCCATTCTAACGGGACTCGTGAAGCTGATACTGGGGCTTGGAGTTGGCGAGAGGGGATGGCGTCGCAAAGGCGCTGCGAAAGAAGGAGATCTCGTATGCTCCGTTGGTCTCCCAAAGGATGGCCTCGCTCCAGAGTAGAGATCTCTCACGTTGTAACCTGATGCTGGATTTGGTAACGCAGCGGAGCGGTTGGCATGTGCCATGCCCGTGGATGAAGTAGTACTACTATGGGGGTAAGTAAGGCAACTGCTAGATAAGTTACGAACGGGTGCGTTATTGAAATCTACGGAGGGGCCAGGATAAATGTGCGACTTACTTGGAGCTCAGGCGCGGTGGCCTGACGTCGATCCCGGGGAAGATCTGTGAGGCTGGAGAATAGAATGATCCAGTATCAGGAGAGTATCCCGTTGTAGTGGTATTTAAAAGAGGTGCAGAAAACCCGCCGAGCACAGAAGGCGGCTGTGGAGGGGTTTCTATCGTCAAGGAAGAAATATGAGATTCTTGGTTGTATCTAGAGAAGGCATTAGCAGGGGTCCTAAGCAAATAGAATTTGGTATACAAGGCTCTGGGCATGCTAGCGAAAATGCTTGTACCGCAGTTCCATGCGAGACAAAGCCCAAGTGTCCAGTGTGACCAAGAGTAGTACTGCCAACGTTTGACGTATGACAGAGGTAGCGGATACAGGATCGGGAGCTATACACCACGCCACATAGCGGAAGAGACACAGGCATTTTGTGTAGCTACAACAGCCACCCATGCAACTTGTCTCCGCGCCTATAACGAGAGGGATTTACAGGCGGTAGTAGTAGTAGGTGCAGATTTTCAGGTAGATGTAGGTCATATGTGTGTGCTAGTAGGACCAGAGAGTAGCCTAGCCGGCACACCTCCATGACTACCCGAAGATTGCTGTTGAGATAAGGTGCAAATAAGGTACAAATATGATGAGGGTAAAGTGATATGACGCGATATTAAACAGGCGAAGTAAAATGAATCGAAAAAAAAATAGGCAAGTTGACGAAAATGTTGTTGCGAACAAGCCGCCTTTTTTTTCTCTCCTTCTCTTTCCCTTTTCTTTTTCATTTTTCATTTTCTTTTCAGTAAGTAATAGAAGGAAGAAAGAGAACTAACCTCATATCACCTGTAGCTGGTATGTCAAGATATTCCAGCCCAGGACAAGAAGGCGGCGAAGACTCAAAGTCCTGCTAGAGGAATAAAAATAATTAGTGAGAAAAGTAATGAATGGTAAAGATATTTAGCATGAAGTGACGGTTCTAATCAATAGAAGAAAGAGGCCCATTGGAGGTGAGCTGCAGTTATTACCGGGCTTTGGGCATGGCCGGCAGGGAAAACGAGAGGACTCGAGGGTTTGTGAGTGAGTAGCCCTGTAGCCGGCAAGCAAATGTTAGCACGCGAGATTGTCCTGTACTGGATGTGCTAACACAAAGGCACAACAAAAGCACAGTTGACACCGGGGAAGACTTGGGGACTTGGGGGAGCATCAACGAGATATCTAAGTACTTTTTGTATGATGGGTCTTGTCGGGTATGTAGGTAGTAAAGTATTTAGGAGTTGGCCATGTATGGTTGTGTAGAGACGGGTGAGAAAGATCAAATAAGATGTATGATGTATGTAAGTATGGTAAGTATGGTAAGTATGTAGATGGGTATGCCGGCCAAGAGGTAGGCTAAGTAGGCTGGCTGGCTGGCATCGGGTATGGGGAACACGAAAAAGAAGAGAATGAAAACGAGACTAAGTAGAATGACTACATTCAGTGAATGTGTAAAAGAATAGCACGGTGTTTGCTCCGGCTGCTTCCAGTTCAATGACAAGTACCTTGTCATTCCGTGCGTGGCACTGTGACACCGCGGCCATGGTGCAAAATACGTAGCCCCGTGAGCTGACTGGCCAAGATGCACATTGAGGTAGGTAAGGCAGGTAGGGTAAGTAGGGTAGGTAAGGTAGGGTAGGTAGGGTAGGTAAGGTAAGGTAGGTACATTCATCTGAATGTACCTAAGGGCAAGAGCCTGCGTAAGGAAAGATACCTTTGCAGCCGGGTTCCAGAAGCAAGCATTCAGGTACAAAAGTGTACCTAGAACCAGGGTAAGTTGAAGTAGAGGAATCCCTCGAGATGTACCACGCTAAAAGACCCGGGGGCGCCGTCTTGTGCAACATAAAGAAACGGGGGATTGCTGATTCATATTTTTCATCCAATGCGCCAGGCCATTCTTCTTTCCCACAAATAGGCACGCAAGTTTTTTTTTTTTTTTTTTTTTTCTCGAGACCACCGGTCTGGCAAACTGCTGAAGAACATAAGCCCTGTGACGTGTGCACAATCTCCCCGGTTTCTGATTTTACATCATCGTTGCTCCTTTTATTTTTTTCATCTCATCTTTTCCCCTGTTCTTGGCTTTGAATTCAATATTGCGGAGGGGGAGACTGAGAGGATATAACAGGGAAAAGAGATGAAAGTTGCCATTTGCGGCTGCGAATGATATGTGTAGGTATATGCGTGTATATCATTTTAGTGAATGTGTTTGTGTATTGTACGTGCGCGTGTATTAGGTATGTTTGTGTGCGCGGGCGCGTTATGTGGGCTCGTGCTAGTTGCGCGTGCATATGCATACGAACCGAACATGACGATACGATTCAATTTGAGATGGTTTTTTTGAACTGACCTTGGTTGGCCCTGCTTGCTACTTTGGGCTCAAGTTGCTGTAAGCAAGCATACCGGAGCTGTTTTGGACTTTCGTCTCCGACATCCTCAGCATCGACGGTGCATAACCCTTTTAATCCAATTGGCTTCCTTTAATTAAAAGCGCCCTCCCATAGACCAGGCTCGGCGAATGCGGACTTTCTCGACCTATTCGTTGGTTTTTTTCTTTTCTTTTTCTTTTTTCCCTCTTCGGTGGGAGCTGTTGTGAATGGACATTGATAATATTCGGAAGGGAAAAGAAAAAAAAACAAAAAAAAAAAACAAGAAGGTGCATAAACGAATAAAAACCGGATAAATTAAATGGAAATTGCAGAGCTATAATGTGTATAATGATAAATATGATAAAGTACCTTGGGGTTAAGTTGTTGATTCATTCGAGGAGCCTCTCTGTTTGAAGAGAGGCGTGCTTCATACGGCCGAAAAGTGGCTGATGATAGTAATTGGAGCTGACGACGGAGAATTCGAAGACGGATCGTGGATTAGCTGTTCCCATAACGGTTGTTAGCTCCGTACTCCTTGCAGGGCTCCCACCCTCCCCCCCAAAAAGCAATTCAAGACGACAACTCGCCGGCTTCACTTAAGAGCCCAATGGTACTTAATCCACTAATAAGGCTTGTCCCGTTACAACGTGCCGAAACTCTATCATGTACCTAGAAAAAGAAAAGAGAGACAGAGTATTTTGGGTAAAAGAGATGTAAATAAAAGGCCGTGTAAGTGTACTACCTATTTTGAGTAGGTAGATAGATGAGGAGATCGGTACCACATGCTCGTGTTTTTCTTTTTCTTTCTTTTCTTTCTTTTTTTCTTTTTAATTCCTCTTCTCTGCATATTCTGCATTGCGGGAATAACTCATCGACTAACCGCTTTCCGACCTCGATCGGTAGCAGATGCCATTGTAGATGGTTGTAGTAAAGTAAGTAATTGGTGTATGCCAATCTTTAAAGGTAGGACAGGGGTTACGAAATGGGCTTGCTGCGTTATAGATATGAGAGGTCCAGGGGCCAGCTAGGATGTACACCGACCTTTGAATCGTCCACTCTAACCATGAGTGCCAAGTTAATTGACGCTTCCGCGAATACATGCACTGTCATGCAGCAAATAGTAAATCTAAGTACCTAGACGATACAGAAAATTCTGTCAGCTTTTAAAACCCTCGAGGATAAGAAATAAATAAAAATTGAATAAAGAAAATAAATGGGTTGACAGTGCGGACTGTCCAAGAAATGACAGTCCTAAGCATTGTCCTGCAGAAGCAACAGTATATGGATATGAGATATCAACCGAGCCCATGCCGACTTGAAGTTGGATTTGGTTATGATGAGTTGAAGTCGGTTCGAATACTTTGATATCTACCTTGAGCGAGTAGGTATCATGTTCGCTGATGGGATTTGGCTAAATCAGCCTAAAATTCTCTTCGACGTCGACCAGATTTCATCTTTTGTCCGTATCTGCGTTGCTGTGTATGTGTCCTAGCTCCGCGACCTGCCTAGTGCAGATGTTTTTCTCATCGAGATTTCGGACGTGGCGCTTGCACAATATCCCGAGGAGAAGAAAAAAAAAGAACTAAGTACCTCTAATCTCCCTATCGGAAAGGGCCCTAATATGCGAATATATCTATGTCTTAATCAAACTGAAGGGCGACCCTGAGAATATGTGTCAGCACTGCTTTCTCTGCTGCAGAATTCCAGCGCGACCTGCGATTGATTAAGATTGGTGGAGGCTAACTACTGGATGATGTACACCAGCCTGCCTACCGCCAACTTGGGTCAACGGCGCCATGCGTATCAATTTGGAACAGGGCATGGGGATATCACTCGAATGAAACCACACAGGCGCCATTCAATGCTCTCAAGGGACGCCTCGTGATAATGAGCCTCCAAAAAACGTTGAATGACCTGGCGTACCTTTATTCTATTATCCGCACTAAGCCTCGCGCGATCCAAGAATCAGCTCCCGCACCACCGCCTGCCGGGTAAAGCGTCCGCGTAGCCGGTTCGTGGGTCTAGTAAAGATAACAGGTCCTGACCCGAGTTGTTCCTCGGATCAATGTAAGGGAGGCCGTTTAGACTATGAAAGAGTGTTCTAAGCAGGTGGCAAGTAGCAAGGGTGGGTTAACAACGCAGGTGCAGCAAGGTTCGAGACGGAAGGGAATCTATATACCCTCACAGCGCACCTATTTAAATCTTAACGTGGTGGCTTCGACTCGTACGGTGGTATATGCCGCGCAGATCTATAGAGGCTTGTAAGAAGAGACAAAAGGGCAGTGCCACCAAGTGGTGCATATGGATGAAGCCAAATTCTTCAGACTCGCAGCAACAAACCCATATGTCGGCCACACTACGGTCCTCGAGGCTTCAATGACAGGTTAAGAAAATATTTGATAGGACTGGTAGATATGCGAAGTGGGTATTGTCTATTCCCTCTTGGGACTGGGTGAGGTGATAATGGTAGCAGTGGTAGTGCAAGCTGGGGGATTTTTGAGACAGCAAGTTATTAGGGTCATTTGTATATTGTGCGGAGAGCTCGAGGCTTGTTGGGTCTTTTCTATTGTTAGAGGCCAATGTGCCGCTCCTTTGAAATTCAAATGAACCGGCGAGCTGCGCAGTAATGTATGAGCTGGACAAGGAATCTGGGTGTAGCCCTATGTGTACAGCCAAAGAACTCCATAGATGAGAGCCTACGGGATGGGCAGCACAGCCTGCGTGCCTGATATCAAGTGCTGGCAAATATGCGGAGTGCGTCGGGCGAGATCAAGTGAATATTCTACCGAACTAGACACAAAACATCTGGGGCAACTCAGCTCCATCTTTTTCTCATGACAATCAAGGCAAGAAGCCGTTCGTTGCAGGGCTTATGCTTCAAATTGTTTTAGTCTCTCCAGACTCAAGGCCAAACAAGTCCCGGGGTGTTGCCACGGACCCCTAATCTGCTCGGTACTGCAATTACCTAAGTGTCCATAAGATTATGAAGATCAGGCTCCTTTTGGGGCCTTGGTACGACTTGGAATATCACCCTCAAATATTCGGTCCTGTACCTAGTTCCCGTTAAGGAGATATAATCAATTTTTTAACATCTTCATCATACTTCAGTAGGTAGCCTGCCAAGTATCTGCCTCTGAGAGGCTATCTTAGAGGTTCTACCTAGGGTAATAAAGTAAAGGAGACGGGGAGTAGATAGAGAAAGTAAGAGCACCAAGATTTTGGGAGCCGATGGAAGAGGAACTCCGTTCCCCTATGCATCATTGCTGCACGTACCCTACCGTCAGGTCCTCTACGAGACGCCACAAACATCTCCTGGTAATTTGGAAGGGATCTGCTTGGTCGAGTTGTGTCCAGTCTTCGGGAGACTGCATAGCAAGCCTACGACCGTTTGGTCAAGTCTGGACCAGCTGCCGCCACTTTTAGTTAGAAAGTCCTAGCCATCAGGCATCTCTGCCGAGATCCTTATTTATCTTAATGTGATTAGATACGAGCAGGATCTGGCTTATCTCTTCTAAAGAAATTTACGAGCCCATGGAATTAATAGTCTAGTAAAATAATACGCGAGCATCCAATTTACGAGTTACATTATGGAAACATCGTAGAGAACAAGGCACAGACTATCTGGATTTGGAAATATAAGCTTGCCTACATAGGCATGTGACTCACCGCGCCTACGATTAGGTATTTTACTAGTTTGGCTTTCGGCCCTACATTGTTGGCATACGGTCATGACCTTGAGGTCTAGCTGCGACCTCTGACGAATCCTCGGCAGCATCCGGTCAATATCGGGCAGGGTGCACTTGCACGCTCCTGGTAGGCTAATCCGGTACGCCTAGTGGATTGGATCCGCAAGGTACGGACGTATCGATAGACCACCTGAAGCCACGATCTCAAATGTCTCAAGCCATGGAAGTTCTACGACCCATCAGGTAAATAGCACGTGAGAAATAGGGCTGACACGAAGAAGATCCGCTGGACATATTTTACGGCAGGCAAGGTCAGAAGATGAGTTCACGGTTTGCTCTTGTAGACCACGGTTCCGAAGCATGACATAATTCCTGGAACGTAAGGCAAAGTTGGAACTTTGGCTTCCAGAGTGACGAAAGGAAATCAAAGTTGACGCATTAATAGGTAGAGCCCGGTTTGCGGTCATCTCTGCGCACTAAGGCGACGGTCCAATAATTTACCCCTATTATCCGAGGTTTTAAGGCTGGGATCGGAAACGATAACTACCAGCCACGTCAAAGGAATAGTCCTAGAAGCCACTATCTATCTATAGAGCACGGGAATGCAGAGAAATATAATTATCTTCATCGTTTTAATCATATGCAGAGCCAGTAATATGCCTACAGCACCTATAGGAATTACGAAGAATGGATTTTGCCTACATGTTCCTTTTTGCTGCTTTAAACTACATAGGTCTAATGGTAATGCGAACTACCGTTGATTTGATGAGTTACCTGTATCCAGCCTAGCATGGCTCGTCCCTCCAAAAATTATTAAACCCCTAAAGAGTGTAACCCCACGAACTGTCTTAGACTATGGTTTGTCTACCTCCAGTACCCTAAAGTTCTTCAGGCCCGAGTATCAATCGGTATAAGACAACCACTATAGATACGTCCGACTAGGTCCTAGCTAACCTGTAAGCTTTCTCTCTACGACGATTGGTATCCCGAAGTCGGAATACGACGCTATATCTACACTGAAGAAGGACTTATTTGTTACGGGATGAGGCTTTGGCTTATCCGGATCGGGCCGCGAGTCTTGACACTGCTCGTCAATCTGGAATGTCGATGCAGCAATCTTTCTGTCATGTTAATGCACATCATGATCTACACGACGCAGCGGTGCCACGTTTGGCACACTCAGACAGAGCAATACCGAAAAGCCATGCTTTTCCTAAAACATTTCATTCTTGACTGAAGGGGTGTAGAGAGTGTCGTGCAAGCTGAACGAAGATGCCCACGCGATGTTTCTAGATCTTGTGCGAGGTGACCGCTCATTGACAATTTGAAGCTTAGGGCCCTGAGTTCGATTATATGCCTCCTATCTTAGGTAGGTATCTATATATAAATGTCTGTGCTTCCCACTTATGAATTTAACATATTATGTTCCCCACGCTACATGGATATTTTATACTGTTATTACTTATAAATACTAGGTTATCTTCAATCTTCAATCTTCATCGTTTTAGCTAATTGCTTGTATCGTAACGTAAGTAGTAATCTCTCATATTCTTTTAGGACAAGACCTATTTTGTTAGACGTCTGGCCACACATAAAAGGTACCTAAAAAGCATGTAGTCAGATACTTAGGTATATATCACTAAGAAATAGCAGGGGTAACACATGGTGACGAGCAAGGAATTAAGCAGGGTTAACCGGCCAGGTACAAGATTTCCCGGGTTAATAAAGAGATGGATCTGGGTAGGTTATTGTTCTGTTACTAGGTACCTTAGGTTGGGTATGTACAGGAGATAATAGGCGTTGTAGATACATTCGTAGTAAAATAAAGCCAAGCGATATTAATCATACCACGGGTCTCAGCATATTGGCCAAGTCCCCGATTTCTAAATTCAGGCATTTAAAGGAAATTCTTCTAGTCGTGCATGCAGATGAAAAAAAAAGATACAAAAAAAAAAGCAAACAAATATACTAAATATGTAATTCGTTGGAGAAGTTACTAAACCTAAGTTGTAATAGGAGAAACGCCAACTGAATTAAAAAGAATTACCCATACCTCTTAACTTAGGTATCATCAAGTTCCAATCCGCACTGTCCCGTTTGCTTACCATGACCGGTGTAAAAGTGCCCCTGTGAGATAGGTAAGTAGGTACTTAAGTATCTGGCAGCATATCTAAAAAAAATCTGACAGGACAGAAAATACTTGTCATGAGAAGTGGCCGATCCCCCAATCATAAATCAGATGGCCAGTGGTCACCCTTGTCATACCAGGGCCGCACGTCCGCTCAGAGAGTGCAAGATGAGTACCCCACCAACCTAAAGAGGTGCATGGCATGTATTGGTACGTCTTCTTTGGGAGATACGTACCTAAGGCTAGGTACTGTCGTCCATAGACTCTACAACTTGTATGAAGCAAATACATGTGAGGCAGGTATATGAGTACATGAGCTGTACCTACTTTACTGTTCAACACATCGTGACATTCGCCATACTCCAGTATTTAACCTAATTTGAATTTTGCTTGTTTGCCTTCTTATTAACGGATCGATTATGGTCAGAAACTTGAGAAATAGTAAGTAAGGGAGTCTTATTAACTACCTAAAGGTTGATAATCCTGTAACTATAAATATAAGATAGATCAATGTAATTAATATCTTCTAATAGCTACTCATATATCTAAGTGGGATGTACCTAAGTACAATACCTAAAACAGTTACCAATTCATAAAGTTACAACTTCACTAATATCGAAATCGTTGATCGAGCTTTCGAACAATGCCTAAGTCCACATTAAATTGTCGACAACCCTCACATGAACATCTTAAAGCAATGTTGACATCTCCTTCTTTTCCTACGAGTACTATGCATGTTTACGCCAATCATACAAGTGAGAAGTCACTATCACGCTTTTCCTCGCCGGATCGTGATGATTCAATAACCCCTGGGGCCATGACGTCTTTTAAGGACCTTAATGTTGCCGTTTTGACATAGCCCTTCGCGTCAACTAGTTCGGAATCTTCCTATTTCCGATGCAAGAGCCTTCAACTAACTATCTATATTATGGATACCTGGTCGGAATATATCTGATTTTAGGGTCCATAGCCTGTTATCCCTTCTTGGATACTACAGGTACGGATATTGGATGCTAAAGATACTACAGGAAAGGTCGCTGTCGCTTATTCATTAAGAGGAAACCTGCTCGTCCCCCCCATCTGTTCCATGAAGCGCGTAACTCGCGCAAGTATAGGTACTTCGTGAGACTTATATCCGTCCTATCTTCATTGCCGGAATGTTCTAGTTGCTATCTCTCATACATCAGTAGCTGCCTGCATATCTAAGGTACATACCTGGGGCAGCTAGCATAAAACATGCCTCCGTCCTGTAGGTTTCTGTCTCCAAGCCCTCCTCGGCTAGCTACTATAAGTAATAAGATAGGGCATACACTGCATACACTGCATACATGCAAGACAAAATCCTAACAGACAGGTTAATTGTATTAGAACATGACGTGATATTAATATTGTTTGTTGACATGTAGATACCGAACAAGTCCTAGCCTATGGATAGACTGATCGCAACGGTCAATTTTAGTCATTTCAGTCGGGCTCTAAACCCTAGTATTTCCTCTGTCGATATCAATTTGGAGCTAATAACTGCGTGAGACATTTAGACACCTAACCTATACTACATTGAGGCCAAAGCGTTAGATTGGACCGAAGTATCTCTGGAACCCTCTGCAAGAAATTTCGAAAAGGGGTGACTTGACATGCGCTCCTCATGCAGCCACCCACCGTTACATTCATAAAGTACTCTTCTTATCAAATTGCTGTAATGGTCTGTGTTGGTCACAATTCAGGCTCCTTACACGTTTTATTTCTTCTCTCCTCGCGATCCGAGAGCGCAGCGCCCTCAGTGCTCTCGCAGAGAGGCACACCATGACCGAAGCACTACTAATTCGTGTGATGCTTCGGCATCCAGGACCCGGGGTAGACTATAGCAAATCGTTCTGGGGTTACTGAAAAACCCAATCGTAAATCAGTGTAGATATTAAATCTTCGTAGTGATATTTGCTACACAACAGGTAGGGCTCTAGCCATTGCGCCCTGGCCTTCGACGATGGAGGGTCAAGTGTCAAGAGAGCTCTATAGCAACAGTAGCATTAAGCCCTGTCACATTTCGATATCATTTGATACGAACCAACTCACTCAGCCAACCATCGTGGCAGGGCCAAGCAACACGGAAAAATAGGCCAGGAACTTGACCGAGGCTTCTCGATGAGGGTGGCGTGTCTTGCATGCCAGTTGCTGTTGTACAAGGAGGGCCTTACCCGAAGCCTTTTCCTCCACTTACTTACCCACTCAAGTATAGCCGGGCGCCTTAATGCTCTAGGTAGCAAGTTAAACTATTAGGCCAATGGTATTACAAAAGCTTGGTGTTGTACCACTCGCTGGCGAACTGTCAGCGGGTTGGCGCTTAGTTGGGTCTTGATCGACATCAAGGATATCGATGAAGCTCATCTCCTCTCTTCGACAGGTAAGCTCGCAGCTCCCCATATTCCCAACAGCTACGCGTTCCGATATGTTCATCTCGCTTCTTCTCTCGCGTACCTCGGAGCTACAGAGCAACGGGATTATTCCGTTTGGTGTTCTTTCAGAAGTTTCGCGTCCCCCCCTTTTTCTTCATCTGCCGGATATTCCACCCGCGAAAGCTCAGCATTCGACGCGAAGCAGAGTTCTAGCATCTATAGCCTTCTTCTACGTTGCTCAAGCCTTTTTATGTGCGTCAAGACTAACTTGCATTCAACCTTGGTTATCCGTATTTGTTCGCTTCCCATTTCCAGATTGGGGGCGGCTGCTATCGAATAATTTGTCAGACATGCCTCTTTCTACCATTAGGCCAACCATTTCCAACGATGCTAATTTTATGTCGTGGTCGTTCGAGGCCTCTATGCAAGCAGACTGCCCGTATGGTTCTAAAAGGGTTAAAGTAAGAGTTGGTATATCTATACTCCCATCGTCCAACGAGAAGGATCATGCTTGAAGCACATGGCGCGCGTATACGTGGCTGGTCCGGAGGCTAGGTACTTAGTCCTTGGAAAGATCAAGCCGACGTATCCTATTATGGATTAAAAATATGGCGATAATCCTTGGGCAAGCACGACTGCAAAATCTTTAGGGGGATGCATCGTAACTCTTGTAACGTGGCACGAGATTTCTCCTATCGTTGCCCGCCCTCTTTCTTTTAGCTCGACCCATATTATCTCATCTATATGTCATGAAGAAGCCCATGTTTCATGGTTACCGGGTTTCAACATACCCTCTGCAGAACATCGTGAGGCTCTGCTCTATTTTCAACGATGACACCTCCCACAACTATAAAGAGTACGTCGGGGGCATTCGGACCGGAAAGTTCAATAACGGATTTGATTTGCATGGAGTCAACTAGCTAGATGTCTTGCTGACGAATAAACTCCTCATTTCGCGAGTTGCCAACCCTCGGATAACAACAAGTAATTACCTAGACCCAATAAAACCTCTTGTCAGAACGCCGTCTCTTAGATCTACCTTCGATAGCCTACTCCAGGTTCAAATCTTGCGCCAAGGATTTCTTACGGCTTATGGCTGGAAGCTTTTGTCTTGTTTATTTGAACTATTCTCGGGAGTACTTTCCTAACAAAATTATATGTATCGTAAAGTATAAGCTGACTGACCGAACTACCCGCCCCTATCCGCATTAGCATGCCGATATAGCTTCTGATATTTGATACCTTAGGTATGAATGACTGATAGTTATGGCAGTAGTCTTCGGAGATCACACCCGTTCTGTCATGGAATAAATGGAATAGATTAACTAGTAAAATACCTGTATCGTTACCTTAGGACGGTTCTATTCAATCAGGTACCTATAGACGTGGGTGACCACACTGTATTCATCTCTTGAGCGAGGAATCGGGAGGGGAATTACCCAATATCAAGGGATATAAACTCTTCACCGCCTGCAAGGCTCCAGTGTTATCCCTTACCGGTCCCAGATAACCGGTTTTTTGCTACACTGTAAAGATACCTTCCAATTATTGACACCTAGGTACCTTAGGTACCTGGTATTTGAGTCTGCTGAACGCTCTTAAAGAATATATTTGGGATTATTACCACTATTATTAACAGAAATACTCGGGTGATAGTGGCTAGGTGGACGGCGGAACTCATGAAGCCGCATATTTCGTATATTTTGTGACCATATGTTCAGCTTGTTCACTTTATTAGCCACTGTGCAACATCTATCGTAGAATGCGGGAACACCCTGCCAGAAAGATATCACCTTGCGTCCTATTCCGGCATGGAAACACGTAAGGATTGCATGCAGTAGATTTCCCAGTTACTGCCGTCATACCGTTATCCGATGTAGAGCCTCGTGTAGTTTTAAGAGGCCGACTAGTACCTATCTACTGCCTACCCTACCTTCCGGTATGGGAGTTATTTCCTTGCTCTTTTTATTACTTTTGAAATCATCAGATTCTCTAGATCCTCCTCTTATTTCAGATCACAATTCCAGGTTTCATTTATCGTAAGGTTTCAACACACCGGCACCTGTTCTTAGGGCCGTAACATCGGCCCCCTACCCTTGATTCGGCGATGAGCTTGTTAAAAGAGAGTAGCGGTGGCTTGGGCAAGCTAGGCGCAGGTACCGGTAATCAAACTACTTTCCATCTTTGGTCTCCAGCAGTAATATGTCCCCAACAGGTCAGCCTACGCATACAGACGAATCGCCGGTCGCCCTTTCGAGCGAAGTTAACGATTAAGAGAAACTCACGTCGACGGGAACTATCGGAAGCGCCTGGATGCCATCCACGTTAATTAGGATCACTTCCGCGCGATGCACGCTAGCCATACCTTTAATGCCGCTTTCCCGCAGGGTGTCTGTTGAAGCCTGCCCCGGTATGCATTCCAACCCTAGAGTCGGATCTGCGTATTGGTTGCCAGACCTCATACCTTCCGTCGATCGACTCGAGCCTTTAGTAATCTTTACTTGATATAGAAGACAACATCGAACCATGGATCCAAGCCTGCCTCCGAGCATTGAGATGGTGCAGTCGCTCGGAAAGCTCCCCTAGACCGCGGAACGAAGTGGACTGATAATAGAAACTTCGGAAGATCAGGCATCTACCATGCTTTTCCAAGAAACCCGTGCGTCTTTTTCCCATATGCCTGCCATCTATATATCGTATTATAGCACCATAGATATACCCCGATTCGTATTGTCATGTCGGCCCCCTAAACAGGATACGGCGTTATTCCATAATTCTGCAGGACATAGATATAATAATACCATCCTATATTTAGATACAGAATATCAAAACATGCAGACAGTAGACAACGGCCTACGTAGCTTCTGATGAAGACATGGAGTTACGATATCAATAGGATATATCAACAAATGTTCTCAATAGGGGTATGTAGCAGGCTCCGAGTCTATTAGAACGAACCGTTATCCCCTTTCGTCACTGTGCTCCTAGTTCCTATCGATAGGCTTCACCTTGTTGTCGTGATCTCCATAATGCACCTATAAATTCGAATCACGTCGGCTGAATCTGATTGCAGATATTATGTATAGTTTGCCAATAATATAGCCTCTAATCTTTGTGCCGTAAGCTATTACAGCTCTATAATGATTCTTACCACTGTGCATTAGTAGAGGCTAGACTACAGTAGCTACCTAAGGTAAGTACTCTGCGATGATTAGCAGTTCTCAAATACTCAAGTATATGATTCAAATCATGTCACATACCTGCGTATCAAGAAGCGTTAATGTAGTTCCAAAGACCCTATCGGCGTAAGGACTTCTTTACAAAAGAGGTTCTCGCAGTTTGGGGCATCGTACATTTGCTTTGACTCTATCTAACGTATAAACATCTATTACATCCCATATACATAAAACAACGGCAATCGTGTATGTCAAAAGCCTCCTAAGTCTCCTATCTAGAAAAACTAATTTTCCATTGCTGTTTATATAATGATATAATCCGCTTTCGCCTAACTGTTGGGCGTGTTCTCCAATATGCGATGAAATGGTAAGTCAACTCCTTTACTTGATTCGAGCGGTAGCAAGACATAGAATACCTACTAGACGTGATAAGCAGCTCTTTGCAGCTCTGTGTTTTATCAATAGTACTGCATGATTCTGTTAATGATATCGTATCTTGTCAAGTTGTTCCGCGAGGAACTCTAACGAAGATAGCTTTGAAGTCAAAGCTACCTAATATACAACACATCTTCTTTCTTTCCAGGGAGTCCCAAGTGAGACTCCTAACATATCTTTCATGGCTTTAATCTCGTTCAATACTTTACCTTGTTGTTACATTTGCTTGATGTGCTATCCTCTCACAAGCTAAGGGGTAGCCTTTCTTTCTTGTGTCAGAAGGAAGATACACTGGTTCTGCCTTGGTCCCCCCTTCGATCCATGCGTCATAAATGTGTACTGCATTTTGCAATATGCGCAAATCTAGTTGATGTTAGATGGGTAGTTCTTCATACCTTTCGGACGTTTACAATTTCATCATTCAGGGGAAGAACATTGAAAGCTTGTTTAGTTGACATGAAGCTGTATTTCATCATAATATTCAAAATTATTATGAGAGTAATTTTACGCATTCATGCCTTAAAACTATGCGTACTAGAAAACATCACAAGGTACACACTTGGATACTCTTTGTCCTTCCAGGTATTCCCTTCTGTAGGTGTTGAAGTATTAAATGTCCTCAACAAATGGAATCTGACAGCTAGATCTCCTACAAGCAACTCAGGAAAGCATCCTTGTTGTTAGTATTGTAATTTTTGATTACTAGGAATGAGCTCTCTAATTTTCATCACTAGTAAAGGCTGTATTACTATATTGAGTCTAATGGCTCTTGCCTGCCTTTAGAGCATTGTTCTAAATATGCCTCAGTGTTTGGCTTGCAGAACCGACGCAATCATAACTGACGCCTAACGCCTAAAGCCAGCTTACATGAAAAAGACTCTACAAGAAATAGGCTGTAAGCTTATAAAGCATAATATCAATCTCGAAACCTATCTTGGGGGGCCCTTTGACCGCTATAGCTCAGCTTACAGTTGAAAGACCTGCCTATTATAGCGTATAATGCTAATTTCCACTTACTGGGATGCGGTTATTACAATCCATAGGATAACTCTTGTCCGCGAAGGTTTACTACAGCTTCACCATGTACGTAGGACCTTAGACTACGTTGCGCTGTCTTGACTACTCGTGTAATATAGATGCTTATATAAAATTGTCATGGGTTCACAACACTTGGAATTCACATTTTTTATCAACAGTGATCGTATCTAGAGACATAACTACAAATAATACTGGTTTATTCGAAGTCATCCTTGGCCTATTCAGCCAGGCATTAGCAAATATATCTTATTGCACTGGTAGGTCTGCTACTTTACTATGTAGAGGTATACCATCCCTTGATACTCTGCAACTCTACAATGCTCAGATATCTAATTGAATAATAGTCTATTAGTATACGAAATACCTAAAACATGGCACCTGTTTCAAAGTCGAAGGAACATAAGACATATATGAAATCATTAAACTATCAAGGCTTGAGAAGTAGCACAATAAAATATCGATTAATTACATAGCATATCCGTCTATCGATAGACTAGTGCCTCTTTACTATATTTTACTAGAGGCCGTATCCTTAGCCGCGTCTTAACTACGAAGTAGAGACACTGGCGCTCTTGATGGCATGTTCTAACGCTGGCGCTGTCCTAGCGGTTTGCCTAAGAGACTAGTCTATAGGTGGAGGTGTCAAACTTCGCTAGCAATTCCCAGCTCCATCCGAAGTTAGCTTGCTGTGAACTTGCCCAAACATGCTCAACCAACATCGCGTCCTCTTCTCTGGCCAACCTATACCCAATCAAGTTGATGAAATCACATTCGGATGAGCGCTCTTCCCTTCGGGTCATAGCTATCCCGTACCTAATTTAGCATAACCATGGGGTTCCATGTCCACATGTTGATCATGACATGATTTCCTAGCCGCATAGTCATTTGATTACCGTCGACCAACCGGTAAGTCGGGTAGTGGCCGAATTGGGTGAAATAAGATAATGATTCGGGAAAACGATTTGATTGCAACTACACATTCTAGGCCACGTAAACCCTGTACTGTTGACGGCATTTAGCAGTCCTGTGTCTCCCAGAGAGGCCTATGAAGGCCTAGATCGAGATTACCTGTCGCGGCTTAGTCCTTCGGAGCTTCTCAGCGTAGAGAAGTTGCTGAGTTTGTTCATAGCTTACGGCCGAGCAAAAGACAGGCGAGGTCCTAGTAAGTTAGTCGTTAGGCACCGAAACATACATCTCTGCCGGTAAACTATTCGCCTGGCCCAACTACCTGGAAGGACCGATAGGGCATCACAATTGAAACGGTTTGAAACGCGTCAAAGTCCTACCGCATCGCTGGAGTTCGTAAAGGAGGAAGCCTAAGAGGCCCGACAGGGACCAGTTCAAGTATCACAACACCATCGGGCATGACGAAACAAAACGAAATCGTTGTACTACCTGAAGTTTGGAAGAGTTCCGGGTTCTCCGTCATACACGAGTTATCTGTTAGCGGCATATGTATATACATGGCCCAGCTAATTTAATGACAACATTGTCTGCGCCCCCTATAATAAAATTGGACCGTGGGCATCGGTAGTGAAGTATGAGGCGTCTAGCAAAGCCCGAGAATGTGGTTCATGTTGACTTCAGGAGTTATTCTAGACCATTTCCCGCCATCTACTCGTGCCTAGTTCTTCTTACGATAAACAAGTCCTGTCAGTGACTAGGCCGAACTCCCCAAAATGTACATTTCGCTCTAGAATTTGCACCCCCCCCCCCCCTTGGCAAGCTCCCGGTCCGGGGGTGATCCCGACTTGTCGTCCACCCCACCAAGTTTATATAGCCCAACAGACCACGCTAGTTATAAATACCTAAAATATGTATGTTTAACTATTGGGCTTTGGCTATGCATTAGTTTTCGGCCCAGACCCCCAGGCTCGGTTCCGGTCCAGCATGTAAGGTGCCCCAGCTGATATTCCGTTACGGACTTCCTTTTAAGTCTAAAGACATGTTTAGGAATACATCTACGTCCCGCATAGCAGAAAATGAAAAAAAAAAAGTGCGATAAATACATAATCTTCGTACCTAACAGGGCCAATTTCCGTACTGCTATCGGTATTTACGTTCCCGTCACTCCAGACCTATACCTTACTCTAGTCCCGATAATATATCTCAGTCATATCCAAATACACACTTATATTCTAACCATGGAAGGATTAATTAAACACATCTCTCTAAGTCTAGACAGACTTGTATAGAGAACAAAGTAAGTCTCTACGTAATACATGAAGTAGAATAGCCCCTGAAATGCGTTGTCTCAATACCCTATGTGCTGGTTATAGCAAATAGTCTAAATCTACGCTGTTTGCCGAAGAATAATCAGATTCTACGTATCACAGACAACCCCGGACTTTTCTCCGTTAGCGTTTTAAGTGGATTACACATGTTTTCTAATCCTCTATCTTTGGTGAAACATTGTTTGTCTTACAAGTCAGAAACTTAGCCGAATTAGGGAATACCTGCCTTAGCCATTGTAGATCCTTTGCTAGATCTCTAGATACATTTCTATTTCATTGAGTCACATACGAGATACGATAGACTTCGAGAACAAGATCGTGGAAGCTGTCGTCATATACCGGAATAAGTATACTCTTCAGTACTTAAGATATAGTATCCCCGTATCTGTCAGCTCATGCCGATGTACTGCTTTGAATCAAACGCGTCACGTAATTGCGTGTGGATCGATACTAAATACACTAATGTGTGTTAGATGACATAGCATATGTACGTAGTAGCATAGGAGGTAGTTAGCACATTATGATAGTTAGCGCTTATTGTCTTTTAAAACTAACCAAAGTAGTTAAAATTACATAGCCTAATTTTTATTGCAGTGTAACGTAGGTTGACATAGGAAGTGTATTGACTTTAAGACCTTTAAGACATTAGATGTTGAGTCGTAAGAATAGTAGTTATTACGTAATATGAATAACAACTCAACTTAAAGACTTTTGACTTAGTCATTCAACGTAACTTAAAGAAACGAAATTCGGAGACTAATCTTTATCTAATTTTTGCTACGTAGCTGGAAAACTGCCAACCACTCTATTCAACTATGTCCACTAGAACAAGATAGAGCTCCAATATCAAAACTGTTACAATCTGAAATCAAAAAGGTAGCTAGGTATGAGTAAGACTTGTTTCGAAAAAAACTCTACCCTAACTTTAAGATCCTATAGCTATACACATTGAAGGTAACCTTTGTTCTAAATGTCTTATAGATAGTCTTGGTAAGAAAGACACAATTAGGGTATTAGAAGGAAACTCGATAATCCAACATTGCCTAGCATCAAATGGCATAAACGATACTAGGTTTAGATTATAAACATTAGGTATTTGGATGAGTCATATACGAATTGATTCATAACAACTCATGTGGATGGTACCTTGTTTAGGAAGGCTTGAGGGTACCTAAGGTTAATGAAATATCGTTAGGAATAGACTCAATTATGAACTTGACTTCAAGAAGCATTGGAAACTTTAAGTATGAAGAACTGGGTACATCTCAGAAAATCATCATTCCTGACTTCACGATATTGGCATTAATATAAATCAATCATAACTACCAAGTTCATAACAAAATACCTATACATAATAGCTCTTCATACTATGCAAGGTCTTCATGGTTATCCAACTAATAATACTCACGTACCTTATAAGATACTTTCCAAACAGCGGACTGTTTAATGGACTCTAGCTATTCATTGCCTATCAGGAAGAATTATAGAAACTTTAGGTTAGGTAGGTAAAAAAGGAAAGTAGCCCATAAGCGCAATATTGGGCCCATTGTACATAGTCTCTTGGGTAGATTTTCCAGACAACCTGCTTCATAAAGAAAAAAAGGAAGATTAAGAGGTTTACCAATTCGAAATAAACAGTTTGATATTTGTAAAAGTCCGGAAGATAACCGCCACGAACAGTACGGTGATAATAATACTATTCAAATAGGTAGGTACCTCAGCTTAAGTATCCAAGGTATTCGTTTCCTATAGTGTCAAGTCTACCTCATTATAAGGTTAGCCGTCGATTATTGTCACAGTACTGTCCTTATAGGTGAAGATAGCATTGTCAACCCCTCGAGTTGACAGCGATCTACCTTTTGGTAGTGTAGCGGTTTGATAGCTATCTTCCGAACTCTTACAATTACAGGGTACAATTGATATTGATGATAGAGTAACTCAATTGGAGGCTGGGTCTAAGAAGTCAAAGTCTTTTTAATAAGAAGACAAAGGAAACGGTACCTTTGGATGACACTGTCAGGGGTCAGGAGTCAGGCCTCATAATTGCATGGATAGACCAGGCCATGCTACAAGGCTCTTGATGTTCTTGATGCTCCAAGTCTTTCGGACTATTATCATCTCTAATGATATTATTTGGTGTTGGCGATAACAAGAAGTTTTACGGTGACTGTGGTTGACTCAACTGGTTCTTCTATCCAGTCATATAGGTGTTAGGGGTTCAAGTAGCATGGTTACTACCAAATCGCAATACTTACCACTCTGCATAAATTTCTTAAATGCTCACTGTAGAATAAGCTGTTCACACTAAACCAATATGTACTGGCAAACAATTATCAAGAATTTCGACGGCTTAGCTGTTATGCTTTCTCTTTACTTAGGCCATAGCTTGAACTGGCACGGGTTATGCCTCTCTTTCAAGGATATTAGATATATAGCTACAATGCTACTCTTTTGTTCTCTATTTGCGAGTAAACAGCACTGGAAGTAGCCTACCTAGGTCGCAATTTACCGCTGTCACGACCTGACTACCCAGTTCGTGTGAATTTGCGCGCCCTCATAAAATAAGGAAATGACTTAGCCGTTCATCCCCATATGAGAGTACCTAGGTGTGGGTCAAGGAAGAATAGGTACCTCTGGGCCAAGTACCTAACCCACTTCCTATTCAACGCTGCCTTGACTTCGACTATCTATCAATGTAGCTAAGGGAGGAAGATAGAAACTATCTCCAGTTCACCCCAAACATTTTAAAGTTTTTCGTCCCTTCACTCGCAGGTTTAGTATCGGCATTCTCCAGGTAAATCCTCGGATGGCCCTTGATATCAACCCAGAAGTACTTATATTCGAAGTCGGGATGATTGGCGCCCTTTGTTAGATGTAGATATGCCACACCATCGTTTAGTGGTCCTTCAACCTACAAAATGTCAGACACGTAGAGACTCTAACTCGCGTTTTGGACTTACATGAAAATGTATAATTAGATGTTCATTGCCACGCGGATCTGTCTTTTGTGTGAACCTATTACCTATCATTAGCAAGAATTTTAAGACACACATCTGCCCTGGAGTACCATACGCGATTGGACGAGCGCGGCGCCACTTATTCGACGTCTCTTCACCATGCGCTATGATCTTTTTGCCATCGCCCAGTAGCCGCACGCACTCTGGGTCCTTCTTGATTCGGTCGACGGCTCGGTTGAAGTAGGCAGTTCTACTTTCAGGAGAGAATACGTCCGTATAGAGGAAATAGCCAATACCTCCCTAAGCAAGAATGCTTTAGCATGTATACTGTTAAGTCATGCGACAGACGGGGCAGACGGGATAGACGGGATAGGCGGGAGCTATACTGTCAAAACCAAGCCGACTACGACGAGACCGAAGTTGAAGGTCTGCTGCGTAGCACGCGATGCTTTCTCTCCAATGGAAAGCTCATTCCATGGTACGAACCCAGTATCGTTGAATGGCGTTACGGCCTTTCTCTTAGAAGCAGCTGAGTTGCTTCCTTGGTTGTGATTCGTGCTATGATGAGTGGCGTAAGTGCGACAGGCAATAGCAGGTTGTTGTAATCGTGGGATAATTGCGGGTGAGCCGAATGATCGGAGTGGGAGCTTCATTACAGCGGTCTTGATTCCATCGGTTGTTTTTTTCTGTTTTGCCAATGAATCAATTAAAGCTTTTGCGACAAGGAAAAGAACCGAAAGTCAATTACGGATCCGTACCTTAAAGCTTTTGGCAAATGCGATGCGATGTGGGGAAAGGCTAGGTAAGTACACCGGTATCTCGGGGGGCCCACTTTGTTACCTTCCATTGCAGCTTTGTTACCGTCAAGCGGAGGGAATTTTAACACTATTCTAACTATGGTCTAGCTTTATTTCTTGTTTAATAGCGTTGTGGGTCCCTTGGCCCCATTCATTTCAAGTTGGCATTTTGGCGAAATCTGGCCGAACTCTCTGATTTCAACGTTGACTCGTCAACTTCCAACTTCTCGACTTTCTTTTTTTAATCGCCAAATCTGACCCTATTCTTTTTTCAACATATTAACAACGACGGCGCTATCTCCTCACTTCCTCAATACCTCTTATATCTAATACCGTATATCCTGCCCGGATCGGGCTCAACTACTAAGATGAGTGCGCTTGCAACTAAGCAACAATCGCAGAAGATCTTCGAGAAGTTGAAGACCAAGTCGGCAAATAGGGTACGTGATAATCCGCTTAAATTTGCCGCGACTCCCTTCTTTTCCATTACTAACATGTGGCGAAAAAGATATGCTTCGACTGTGGCCAGAAGAACCCTACGTGGACGTCGGTACCCTTTGGCATTTACCTATGCCTCGACTGCTCCTCTAACCACCGAAATCTCGGTGTCCATATCTCCTTTGTTCGCTCTACCAACCTTGACCGTGCGTCGCTTTTACGAGCTTAGTCTTGAGCTCCCCCGCTTCATATGACCAACCAAACGCTAACGGTATATTCAGAGTGGCAATGGGATCAATTGCGTATCATGAAAGTTGGCGGTAACGAATCTGCCACCAAGTATTTCCGCGCAAATGGCGGTAGCGCCGCACTCGCCAGCAAGGACCCAAAGACCAAATACCAGTCCAACGTCGCAACCAAATACAAAGAGGAGCTTAAAAAGCGAGCCGCACGAGACGCGCTCGAGTACCCGGACGAAGTTGTCGTCACTGACGTAGCCGGAGAGGGTGCCGAGGGATCCGCTACTCCCTCTAGCGAACCAAGCGACGACTTCTTTTCTTCGTGGGATAAGCCATCTATCAAGAGGCCCACGCCGCCTATCTCGCGAACTAACACGCCGCCCGTCGTTGGCCGTACCGCCTCGCCATTCCTCAACGCCAATGCCAACGGCAAGGAAATCTCTAGGTCCTCGTCCCCTCTATCTAAGTCGGATTCCGCATCCGAGGCCAAGCCTGCCGCCAGCCGAATCACCACCTCTGCTGCGCTCCGGAAGACGAACACCACGGCGCCCCGCAAGGCTAACGTGTTAGGCGCGAAGAAGGCCACCGCCAAGCTCGGGGCGAAGAAGGTTACCGGAGATATCATCGACTTCGACGAGGCTGAGAAGAAGGCTAAGGAGGAAGCCGAGCGAATTGCGAAATTGGGCTACGACCCGGAAGCCGAAGAGGCCGAAGCGAAGCAGGCCACCACATCCAAGACGGAAGCGTCCCATGTCGTCTCCCCGACGCCGGTAAGCCCGCGTGGATACGGATCTAACCATTCTCGCGAGAAGTCAGCAGCCGAAGTTGAGAGGTTAGGCATGGGCCTAGGTAGATTGGGATTCGGTCAGGTTGGAGGAAGCAAGCCCGCCGCTGGTGCCGCAAAGAAGAACGCCGGTGGATTCGGCTCGGTTGGACCCGTCAAAGCCGCTGCCGAAGGTAGGTTCTACACCTTTTTTTTTTCTCACTACTCTATTTATCTTGAACATCATGATACTAAAGAGCACATTTTTAGATGACGAGGAGCGGTACGCCCGAAACAAGTTCGGCAACCAGAAGGGAATATCGTCCGACGAGTTCTTCGGCAAGGGCTCGTTCGACCCCAACGCCCAGGCGGAGGCGAAGACGCGCCTGCAAGGGTTCGAGGGCGCCACCGCCATCTCCTCCAACGCGTACTTTGGCCGACCCGAGGACGAGGATCCCGCGGACGACTACGGCGACCTCGAATCCGCCGCCAAGGACTTCGTGCGCAAGTTCGGCATCACCGCCGGCGACGACCTGGACAACCTCACCAGCGCGCTAGGCGAAGGCGCTAGCAGACTCCAAGGCGCTATCCGCAACTACCTCAACGGTTAAAGCTATTTTTACTACTGTGTACTTCACGTATAAATAGCATAGCATAGCATCGGAAATAGCAGGAGTTTGATATGATCGATACCTTTATATTAGCTAGAGATATCACCAAGCGGGGAGGGAAAAAGATGGATTCTCTCAGCTTCTTACTCTACCTCTAACGACGGGGGGGTTGTGGTAGTCAGCGCCACTATCAAGCTTTAGCGCCAAGACCTGCAATGAGTGAGACAGTTGGGCGGATGGTAAACGGGAGCTGTTATGAATACAAAAACGGCTGTGCCAGCCCATACGACTTGGGACGTTATAGAGAGCAATGGGCATGGTACGCATAGTAATGAAACTTGATTATATTGACTACCTAGAAGTACCTAATCTATGATTTCTAAAAAAAAAATTCGATGTGCCCTGCGTTCGAGAAGTTCCTCAAAGTCAAATTGTCTAAATTGTGTATAACTACTGGTTCCATATGTTCAGCTTACACAAAAGGCTTGGTCAGAAATAAACTTAGGTTAGGTACCTGGTAGCTAAGGTAGCTACCAACGAGACCATGTCAATAGTCTAAAATGCTTAGAATATTGCATACTCATTTCTAGTCTAGTTAGGTAGAGGTAAGTAATCAACTTAACAATATCCGTATAATAAAAATTCGTCGCCGCTCTAGATTAGGAGGTAGGTTAAAAGTAAAAGGTTTAAAAAAAAAATAAAAAGCCGTAAACCAGAAAACACCGTCCCTAATACCAGGCCTGTCTTAACCTAATTAATTAATTGATTGATTGATGATCTATACCAAATCACACCTCCTCTCGTTGGGGGGGGGGGGGGGGGGGGGGGGGGGGGGGGGGGGGGGGCGGGGGCGCGGGGGGGGCGGGGGGGGGTGGAGGGGACGGAGG